ATAAAATATTTAGAGTATATATGAGAGAAATTGGTCATTTCGAACCTGTTGAAAAGTTTGTGGCTCTCGGCTACACCGGGGAATTTACTTCCATGAGTACACACATAAATGTGGGGTTCCCCAAGAGGAACGCGACAAGGTGACCTGGCATCAAATGTGCGACTATCACTATCGAGAAGATAAAATAACGAATACGACAATAAGTTATTGCATGTGACAATTCCGAGCCTTGATCTCACTGAAGTATTTTGAAGTGAAAATAGGATTTTTGTTTTGATACTAGGATTCAGATGAACGTAACTTTATTCTGACAACTAATCAAAACTGAACAAAATTGATTGTACGTAACAGACAATTTATTGTTTTACAATGTTTTGATTGGCTAAACGAATGAAACCAACAAATTATGACATGTAAAATGACAATTTTGAAATGCAAAATTTAAAAGTGACAAACACAACCTCCCTATCCACTCTTTGGGAGCCCTAGTAAATTAGTAATATGTACATGCAGCAGTGGTAGTGTGCAGCTTATTATCACACTACGCTTTGTATTCTAAAGCCTGTTGTTTGTAATAACACTGTTCACTCAACGTATGTTTTGTGTGTGGGCAGTCAACGATAATCATTGTTTTATCCCGGTTATATGACCTCGGCAATTATAACAAAACCGTACTAAACGAAAAAACGCAAATAAGAGAAAGCTTTCACACACATATAAAAAATGAACTAGTCTAATCCGCCAGTATAAACTCTGTGCTATACGTAGCCGGGTCAGGCGCACACTTTAAGAACAATTGTATATGGATAATTGGATATGTAATATTATGATCCCCCCTCCCCCTGGGATTACTTATGTAAGAAAATGTGGCAACTCATTTATGTCTCCAAGAGAAAAGCAAGTGACTGGCACTATATGAAGTACACTCTATAAACCATACATTTTCAAGGTAGTCTTGCACCAAGCCAATGTACACCCCTCCCCATTAAGAATGTGGGGATAGGGGCTTGTAAAAAGACTATTTGCCAAGTTACAAATTGCCATACTTGCAAATTAACTAACACCAAGAAACAGCAACATGATCAAACCAGATCATTGAGATCAGAGCATTTTCTATATAATGTAATTATATATCATGAAGTTTGTATTCAGTAAAGATAACGTTTACTTTTAAGGTTAGAGTAAATATATAAATGGTAATCCACATTCCACACTAACTTCTCTCTCTTTAGAATAAAGAACTGTTAGTAGAACAGAGAGGACAATGAGTTTTTAAATATGAAGATAGATCAATGAAAATGCTTCGGGGTTATCAGAGGCTAAGAGAAAGAAACAAACTTATCTCTCGCAACTTTAAAATATCTGACTGAAAACATTGCTTGACGGCTCATTCATACAATGTTTCAAAAATGTGTTATAACTTTTCAGCAGACAATGTTTGGTGGTTGGTGGTCAGTGTTTGGCAGTTGGCGTTTGACATTCAGCATCCAGAACAAATGGCAGGTGGTAACATTTTGCATGTTAATGCCTTGTGTAACAATGATATTTGACAAAAGTATATGCATAAAAACATGATAGTCTACATATATGTTGGTAATTTAAAAAAATGGAATTCATTATTATGGCAATACAGAAAGTGAACATTCTCCCATAAATTATGTTTTTACTGGAATGTGTTCTTGAATGATTACCCACAATGCAATACTCGAAGAGAACATCTTTATACCTCTTAATCTATTGGGTCTTTTTTGTTTACTTTTACATGATATTGAATATATTTTATGCTTAAATCATATTAAAAATTGATTTTTATTCAAAATAATACTAAGACATATACATTTATCCAATACTTTTTGAAATATTACCATTCAAGGGAAGCATGACATTTCTCATTTCGAAGGTCTCATGTTATTACACAGAGTTGCATACCCTTCGAATTGAAAGCCCATGATTGTTTTTAATATTTTACTTGTAATTTTTGTCACAAAAATATAGATAGCATTGTGTGTTCTAAAATGCCATACAGTGCCACAAATATTCCAAAAATCTTTGCTGAATGGAAAACATAGCCAGGTTATGACGGATTTGACAGTTGAACAGTTGCAAGTATTGCTAAGGCTTATATTGAATAACTAAATTTATAGAAATGTGTAATTCAGAGTGAGTTAGTCTTTTTTCTGATTCTACCTTCAATAATAATACCAAGAAAAAATAGTTGCCATAACAATATGCTACCACTTCTTGATGGTGAACTAAATGTATAAATGCCATATGACAGACAAATTGATGATCAGACAGAGACATTCCCTACCTGAAGTTTGTTGGGATAATTACTGTAAAACAATTTGTGGTAGTAATTCTCTCAGATTTTTACATTTGGTTTTGCATACTCATGTCTTCGTTATTTTTGCAAATTCCTCAATTCATGCCAGGAATACAATTTTGAATTTACATCATCCTGAATTCAGGATTTCACACTCACACGAAAATACGAAAAATTAAAATGGAGTCGAATTTAATTTACAGAACTCTTGTCAAATCGTCTATGACTTTATAGCAACAAATAACATTTTAAGTATATGTGCAGAAACAATTTTATTGCAAATGTAATAAACATATTAGATCATTACAACTTAGTTTATTTAATTCAAATTAGAACAGAAAATACATAAAGAGTCAATACATTTTAAACATAAGGCAATACATTTAATGTACACACTATATCAAGATTTAATCTTTATAGTAGAAGTTTTGAAGGACTTATTTCTATATAACTACTGGTAACCTAGTTTTGAGACTAAAATCAGCATTAAACAACTATTGTAACCGTTTATCAAAAATAGCTTTCATAAAAAATCTACTCAAAAAAGTTCTAAACAACCTAATAAACCTAATAAACAAAGCCCGCCATGCTTAATCTAAGGAGATATTTAATGTCATGATATTTCAATATCACAAAAATTCATGAAATAATTCAAAGTGTTGTATTCAGTCAGGTGACCAGCAACAATAAAACATGACAAATTAGTCTGTGTATATGAATCGATGATTATCTCAATTTGAGCTATTTACTGGAACTGAGCCTAAGATTGGCACAATTTGTAAATGTGTACATTTGTATAATATACAGGGTGGGCCAAAAGAGGTACACTCATTTTATTCTTGCAAGTTCAGATGGGTTGATGTTTTCTGACCCACCCTGTGCTTTGAAAATCACAAACATGAAGTCATTTGTCAGTTCACCAACACATTGTTTGGCTCTTTGATGGAACAATGCTCAGTATTCAGTATTTGCATGGATGTTATGCAAAAAAAGTAAAAATCTGAATGGCTTTATGAATGTGATTTATGATTTACAAGGCTATGGTTATGAGGTAAATAATGTTTTTAAATGTACGAACAGATAACAACCTGATTCAATAACTTGCTATCAGATAAAGGAGGGAATCACCCAAGATTCATAGCAATACCCTGCTATATTACAGAATTCGCCATTAAATACCCATAATCCTTTTCATGCCGTCTGAAAACTTTCATTCACTGGTGAACAAAAATAACTCCCAGCAGACAAATAAATAAAGTTTGATCTCCAATCTTCACACAAAAAAGGATTTGAACAAGGAAATTGTGGAGAACTGAAATGCACCCAGTTTTATGCATCAAAAGGATCTATTACTTTTTGAGTAAAGTAAACCATATATCTGCAACTTAGCTGCATTATGGGGGAGCCCATTGTCTCCTAAAGGAGAAGTCCCATTGTACTGTATATAGTTTTGCCACCTTAAGTTGAATTCAATTATTAACGGAATGCAGATATCTTTCATCCATTTGACCTTGACCTTCTTATCTTGCACACACCCTTTATTTATTTTACCTCAACTTACAGATATCCTTTAACCTCTTGCCAGTATTTGGCATTTCATTTCTTGAATATACCATATGTGATGGTCGTTTTGGTAATTGTATTAAGGTGAGTCCACTTTATGTAAACACATTCAAAACTTTATTTGTGTGAACTGGAAAAATGTTGTCAAAGCTGGAGCCATTTGGGTGAAAAATTCTGAACCGGTTTTCTTGTCGCTCTGATTGGTCAAGAGGCGAACTATCTGACCTTCTCAACTTTAAGCAAGTTAGGTACACCGTAAACTGATATATACTGATTGTTCATAATTTACACACATAACAATAACTGTAAGATTAAACCATTAAATGTGTAAATGCATATTAAACTTATTACATCGAATCAAACTTCGTAAAATTACAATCCAAAATGTAGAAATAGTTCCAAATATGTAACAGATAGAGGAATACAAACACTGTTATATTACATGTTTTTAAGTATGAAAAGCCATAAGCTCGACTGTTCATCACATGTGTATTGAATACTACACTAAATATACACTGTACGCCTAGCTATAACTATAAATGCCTAGCTACTGGACCTACAAAAGCTTAATTTCAAATATGAATATAAAATTCTCAGCATTTTTACTGCAATGTAATGCATATTGGTATGTTCGGGAAGCTCCTACGTCATATTTATCGCGGCTCTACAAATTTGCATTATTTGAGGTGAATAAAATACAGAGTGCACACAATAGTGGTCAACTACAGTTTACTGTATGTACACTATTGTATTGGAGCAAACTGTATGATTTAACCAAAATTTACAAAGAACCCTTTTTTCCATAATTCTACCATTTTACCCTTTTACTGTGCACTTTAATCTTTATTGACATGTCCTGTAATATTGTTTTGAGAAAAATTATACGAATTAAGTCAAACACATATTTGTTATGAAGTTGATTGTTAATATTTTTAAGACATTTATGTGTGTTTGTGATAAATGTGAAAACATGGGAAAATGGGAAATTCCGGCCAATTTTGATCATCTTGTGTTCACTTGAAAATATTAGCGCACGTAAAATGAATCCTTCATACACAATGATATGTTGCGTTCATCCATCAAATATGCTCGTTCCTTTAACCCCTGTAAACCCCTAGCTCCACCTATTGCATCTTTTCCACAATCGTCCAACAAGACAAGACAACCGAACAAAACATTACAATTTATGAATCCATTAAGTCAAATATTACATCCCATCTTGCATTTATGTTCCAATTGGAACGTGATTGGCAATGGTTGCGTTACATTCAGTCATAATTAATCATTCCAATCCTTGGCGATCTTGAATGCCCACTCCCATTTTAAATGTTCATTTTTGTCATCATCGGTGAAGAGACTTTTCACAGTGTATTCACCCCGGGCTAGCATCCCAGAGGGAGCCTCATCTGTGGGAGTACTATAGATGTGTTCTTCTTCGCGCGGGGCATAAGCCCCAACCATGTAGTTGGTCTTGTCAACTGAAACATAAAGTGGACATATACATTATATATAATTGTGATTGGTTGTAAAGCTATCAGATATACAGTGTATAAGGGTAATACAAAGATTAAACCACTAGTACTGATGAATTTTATTAAGGGAACTTTCTAATACATCTGCCAAGCTATCTGACCCTAATTAGCCACCTGGTGGTGAAACTGGTAACTAACTACTCGCATCTTGGTTATTGCACCAATTAAAATTCAGATTTTTGATTTGTTTTCAAAGGAAAGTATCGCAACAGATTTCGGACAGTCATATGTTGGATTTTGGCTATTTTCTGAGGATTTAAACAGGTGCATGTTAGACCAATGCATTACCTCCAGGAAAAGCACTCCTAGAGATGATAAAGTAATTTTGACATATTTATACATATATACATATTTTTACCTATTGGATTGAAACAAAAGGCATTAACATATGTCAAAATGTCACCAAATGTTAAGTTATTGCAAATTGTTAGACGCTGAACTCTGAATACCTTCAACTGTCATAGAAATGTTGGAGACCATAACAATATAACACCACTTCAAATATTTTGTGGTGGGGACATAAAAATAAACTTGACTAGTTTTCTAAGATTACAATTCATATCTTCAAAAATGTGAATTCTGCATAAAATATTCCTCGTGCATGCTTTATATACATACATATTAATTAAACTTTTGACAAAGTAGCAGCCACAAAATCCAAATAGATTTGCAAATATTTCACTTTGGGAACTAAAGGACACATTTGGGACGGGGTCAAATTGAGAAGATTGTGAGATATAAATACTGTTTCCATGGTAACCATATAAGTCAGAGATTGGAAATTTCTGGCACTGACTAACCATGGCATGCCCTACCCACTATAAAATGATGAATATCTGATATGCATTAGTATTCTTTTTATTGGGTGGTATTAAAGTACCCCCAAGGTTTTGTTGGGGTAGGGGTATAAATTGGCCTGAGGGCCTTCTGCCACCCCTACATAAAGTCCAACTATCCAGAAAGTGTCCAGCATAATCATACAGATTGTTTGAAATATGTTGGAATGTGTGACCTTCCATGAAAAGCAGAATGCATTTCTAGAGCACTTCTACAGAATAGTCCACAGTCTAATAGTATAATTTAAGTTTTTAATGATTTAAGATGATTATGAAATTGTAAACGAATTGAAACATTTTTTTAAATAAACTTTTCAATCAATATTGGGACCTATTTGAAAAAAGAATAAACTAGTTTGTAAGATACATGTAGTTATATTTAAATATTTGTTTAACAATGCATTTTACAGTATAACTTTAGAATTATGTATTGTAATTGATTTTGTGAGGAAGTCAATTGTTTTGGCTTGAAACACAATAAAATCTTGAATCTTAGTACAATAACAAACCTTGCACTCCTTTTCTGCAAGTCTTGTGCACATATCTTAAGCCCATAACAATCTCACGCTGCACGAAAAAATGTACTTTAAGTTTAAAGGTCACGCCCTCTTTGATGGTCACTCTCTGTTTCTTGAGAGTTTCTATGTCTTCTGGAAATGAAATGAAACTGGTTAATGTTAAGAATAATCATGATACAACAGAAAACATTTCAAAGAATAATGACACAAAAGAATACATTTCAAAGAATAATGACACAACAGAACACATTTCCAAGAATTATGCCACAACAGAATAATTTTTCAATAATTACTAGTATGACACAACAGAATACATTTTCAAGAATTATGACACAACAGAATACATTTTCAAGAATTATGACACAACAAAATACATTTCAAAGAATTATGACACAACAGAATACATTTTCAAGAATTATGACACAAAAAAATACATTTCAAAGAATTATGACACAACAGAATACATTTCAAAGAATAATGACACAACAGAATACATTTCAAAGAATTATGACACAACAGAATACATTTCAAAGAATAATGACAAGACAGAATACATTTCAAAGAATAATGACAAGACAGAATACATTTCAAAGAATAATGACACAACAGAATACATTTCAAAGAATTATGACACAACAGAATACATTTCAAAGAATAATGACAAGACAGAATACATTTCAAAGAATAATGACACAACAGAATAATTTCAAAGAATGACACAAATGATTATACATGTACAAAGGATTATGATGCAGATAATTATGAAACGTACAAAGGATTATGACAAAAAAAACGTAGTATAAAAAAAATGTTACCACTACTGATCAAAACATGAAAATAGACACGACTGTGGAACTTACTAGTTAAATCTAAATCTACATCAGGTCTACCCTCTGTACAGAAACTCAGCTTCGTGACAATAACTTTCCTTGGATCCTCAGGGACTGAAACAAATGAACACCTTGTATTAACATCCTCCTAACCAGGTGTCTAGAATCCGTACCTCCTTCTTCCCCCTGCTATAACCAATTTGGAAGCGCCCAATTTAACTGAGTCATATGATCTTAAACTTAGCGCAATGATACATGATTTCTGTTGCAGTGTTGCGACAGAAAATCAGATTGCGAGTTCTTAATCAGGGAAATGGTAACTGCTTATCGCAGGGGGTTAAAAGAAAGAATATATTCTGGATTTTGAAGCCCTGTGATCGGAGGATGGATATTAAAAATATCTTTTTTTTAAATACACTTGAGGGGTTTCACTAGAAGTTCTCAAAACAAAATTAATGGAAACATAAGTTTAACATGGAAAAATTGGAAGTCCCTAAAAACAAAAGGCGATTTTGAGAAAACAACTGGTGAAAATTGATTATTGCCTGCTGCAAATGAAACCCCTGTACAAGTACTTATTTAACATATTTGTAGACTTGGGACAATGGACAATGGACACACACTTAGCCTTATTGAAAATATTCCAAAATAAATAATCATAATTTCTTTTGTTTTGCATGTGGTTGGGAATGCTAATATCCAAACCCTTATTTCAAATGGGCCTTTATTATCAACCTTTAATATATTTCACTTGTTGGATTTACACTAAAGCCCTAAGATGTCTTTGGTAAAAACGTTTTAGCGTTAAAACGTTCTACATATGTAATGTAAATCCTGATTTTCTCAAGAGCTCCTGGCTAAGAGCGCTTAGCTAAAACGTTTTAGGACCCTAGTCATAGCCGAAACGTCATAGCATTAAAACATTTTACAAGCCAGTGTAAATCCATCAGATTTAGCTTAAGAGCTCTTAGCCCGGTTTTTTGCGTAGTCCTGAACGAAAAATTTGAAACTTTCTGTTTACATGTGTCGCAAGGTCCTTTCTCGTCTCTTATCCCTTGTTCCCAATATCATCCCAAAAATATCAAGAAGAACTAATTTGCCTGGCGATCTATCATAACCCTAATATATGCACAAAATCTTCCTGCTCTCTTTCATGCTTTTAACAATGCTGTCTTTACAACATATTTTTGTACAGAAGCATTCTTTAGCACAAAGTATAGAAGCGGGAAATGAATAGTTATATTGACTGAACCGTCCAGCCAAGACGTCTTGGAATGTCGCGTGTAGTGTAAATAGGGCTATTAAAACTCTCCGAGTCTGATCAAATATATTCTTCAAACAGCATTAAAAAATATTAATCAGGGGAATTTTGAATGGGTTTTGCTTCACCAAAAAGTATCAACATTTATGTAGTCAAAAGAAATTAAGTATTTCTATAAGGTACAATGCTATACAGAGATATGTACCATAATATTTAACCTTATTCATAAAAATATCTAAGCACAAATGCCAAGGTGAAATGACCAAAAGTTGTAATGGAACTTAGCAAGAAAAAGCAAGCTCTAAGTCATAGATACTAGTATTCCGTAATTCCGCGGCGTGGACGGAATTTGACAAAACTTCAATTTTTTGCAGAATCCCTGATTTTCATGAAAATCCCGCGGAATTACCAGAATTTCCAGAAATTACATATTTTACGATCTCCTACCTTTTGCGGGGTATTTGAAGAGTGTCTGTTTATGTCCAACAATCAATCATTATTGAGTACAAGTACGATTTCACCGTGAAATTCAACATTCTATCACGTTTAAATTCGCTAAAGCGAGTTCGCTAATGACGCGCAGTTCTTACCTAGAAAGTAGCTAACTTCCGTTTCCGTTTTACGTCAATTTTCATCGTTTTAAAAGATTGCAAAATTTGGACTTTTTTTGAAAATTTGTGCAGAATTTCAATTTTCTCCTTGCAGAATTTGCTTTTTTTCTTGCAGAATTTTTTGCAGAATTTTGATTTTTTTCATGCAGAAAACTAGTATCTGTGCTAAGTGCATACCAGTCAAGAAAAACAAACCCCATATATCCCAAAACCATGATCTAAAGAATATTGACATTTAAGCAATTTTGGAATGATTTTGCCATTCATTGATTTTTTTTCAAAATTCAAAAGTCGTGCACTTACAGAATATAACTTTTTCACCCGATGCCGCATCACCAAGCAGTTTTTTCTTGTAGTCCTCCAATGATTTATCATCTTTGTCTTTTTCCAGCATCTCATTCATCGTGACCTGCTTTGGTGGGACGTACCCTGGGGTTTCGATGTCAAGATCATCTTTTTCAGCCATGTTGACTTATTTGGTTCCCTTAAAATAATCAAAAGTGAATGGTGGATTGATATGTGTGTTCTACATGATCAGTTTAATGTGTAATGTCTTTTTTAGCAAAAAGACATGTCAAATGAGAGAAAAACAACAAAATCATTCGACCAAGGAAGTTTTTCAATTATCCATTGTAGGCACTTCTTCGCTGATAACTTTCTATATAGGTAAAACAAAGTAATGTTAACCAATGCTCTAACTCAAGTATATTAAGATATAATCTGTTTACTTGGAGATTAAAGATATACACCAAGTACATTATACCTTGATATTAAATGTATCAATATACATATATAAATACTGAAGGATACAGTATATTATGTAGCCTTATCAGCCTATCGAGACTTCTCACATAGGATTACGTAATATAAAATCGTTATATTTTTGGCATAACCATTTTTTGGCACAAACCTTTCAACTTAATATGAAGGAAATTCTACGAAATTTGAGTTTTTGGTATATCGTTCGTACATGTAGGTGGTGGTACGTGTTTGCTGCTAAATACTTGGTTCACAGTGTTCTAGTTTACGTTATATGATAGAAAAAGTTTTTATACATTTTTCTAAAAAAAAGTTATATCCCAAAGACCTGAGAGGCCTATCAACCTAATCATTAATGGTCAATAGTCCGAGAAGGCGTGGACATATTTTGACATAATATGGTATGACTCATTATAAGTATCTCCAGTAGTTATTATTCCTAACCAATCATGTTCAATAATGTACAAAGAACTTATGTTCCAAAAAACAATTGCTTGAATATATGCATGTTAGTGTCATCCCATTCCCTAGAATATAATTTTCAACAACGTTGATGTCCCAAAGTCTGAAGAAACCCTATTCTAACTATGGGTAATCTGAGAGGGCATGTGTGCTAACAAGATAATAAAAACATTCATTGGCCTTTGATAACCTTTCTTCCTTGTAACACATAACATGTATGATGTTGCTGTGTGATTTGACTCCTCTATTACCTTCAAATACAGAAATAGTTCTAGTAGCTAATAGAGAGGTTAAGAACTTGTATATGGATAATTGGATATGTAATATTATGAACTCCCCCCCCCCTCTCCAGGGCTTACTGACAATTTAGAATGCAAAGATGCTGAAAATTAAAAATGTAAGAAAATCTGGCAACTGATTTATGTCAAACGCCAACTGCCTAACACTGACCACCAAACACCAAACATTGACTATACATTTTGTATATGCATAATAAAAACATAATTTGTGGGAGAATGTTCACTTTCTGTATTGTCATAATTATGATGAATTCCATTTTTTATTAAATTATCAACATGTATGTAGACAATCAAGTTTTTATACATATACTTTTGTCAAATATCATTGTTACACAAGGCATTAACATGCAACATGTCACCACCTGCCATTTGTTCTGAAAATGTTTCGAGATTATCAGAGGCTAGGAGAAAAAAAACTTGTCTCTTTCACAACTTTAAAATATTTGACTGAGAACATTGCTTGATGGCTCATTCATACAATGTTTCAAAAATTCATCATCATCCAAAAATGTGCTATAACTTTTCAGCAGTCAACGTTTGGTGGTTGTTGGTCAGTGTTTGGCAGGTGGTATTTGGCATTCAACATCTAGAACAAATGGCAGGTGGTGACATTTTGCAAGTTAATGCCTTGTGTAACAATGATATTTGACAAAAGTACATGTATACATATATGCAGTATGAAATATTAAGGATACCAGAAAAATATAAATTGGTAAATTAACATTACATTACTATCATCTAATTCTTCTAAAACATTGCATTTAAACTTCCCTATTATATCATGTTCCAATGTAACTATGGTAACACTCTCATTCTTTAGTCCTTCTATTTTCTTATCAAGCTTTCATTTCCTGACATCACTTGATATAATATTTCATTTTATTACTCTACATGGCATCATATCTCTATGGTAAAAACAGCATGAAAGGCAGGGACTTGAATTAGCATTGTAAGGGTACGCCTCAAAACAACTCTTACCTATTGGAAAGAAGCTAAAACCCCTTCCTCTCATCTATAAACAAAACTTCATATTGATTTCTTATTTTGATTTATCTGAAATCAGGAAATTGATGCTACCATGGCAACCACCAGTTGCCACTAAAAATCAAAATTTTAGCTTTCATTTTATAAACTTTGGCAAATAATTACTTGTATTCATGTGTGAATTAATGGAATAATATCACAAATGAAACGAAACAACTAGCAATCACTGTCTTATTGATCCCCCATTCTCTCTCACCACTGAAACAGTTTTGTAACTAGGCACATACTGAGGTTTTTTAATGATCCCTCGATCCTATCAATTTCATTATTATAACATTGTCGTACTGGGCACTTGCAGGTAATCAGTACCCTGGTCAAATACTACACTCCCCTCTGACTACCAATAATTTCATATCATCATGCTTCTCAGATCTTAATAGTCTCAATCGTAGCTTCTGTGGCATATTATATAATTTAGGCAGAAAATTTACATGTATATAGCGAGTCTTTTTTAGCTTTGTGGCATCAATAAGTTCGTAATTTGAAGAACAGCGCAGAAGAATTTTACTTCTGTCAGACAATAAATAGTAACTCTGTCCAGTTCTCAATAATGGTTTGCAAGAAAAAAAATTATGAAAATATAAATATTATAATTTTTTCAATATATAATCAGATTATACAATGCTTATGCAAAATCAATTAATAATTTCTTATCTGAAGAGTATTGCAAAATTGTTGTCTTAAAAAGGGTAGGAATACTAAATGTGTCATTTCTCTTAGATAACAACTTTATCACAATTTCTGAAGTAGACAGGTGAGGAAAATATTATATTTGCATTTATTACAAAGATATCTAGATCACTTCAATTCTGCAAAATTAAAGTACCTGCAATGTATTATTTATACAAGGGGAGTTGTATTTTTATCGCTGAATATTGTAAAGTAATATAATATACACTGTAAATTTGAACCAAATCTTTAAGGACAATGTGTACTTTCTACCATTTTGATGACCATGTGCTTTTTCCAAATGAGCATAACTCATTCCAAACAAGGCCTAAATCTTTCACTTTTGTATAAAAGGAGCTTTACTGTATACCCAGATTATTAATTGTGTTAATTTTTTTTTTCGAGGTCTCCTCTGCCGAAGGCAGCGCGAAGTAGGAGCGTAGCGACTACTTTGCGGGAGACCTCGAACCATTGATCACGTTTGCTCCTGTAATTATTCACTTCTTCACCTCTATAAAATGTTATTTCAATCAGTTGATCAAATTTTCGGACTTTGACCTCAAATTCAAATATTAATATTTATAAGAAAAAATACTGACTCATTATTATATTTTTAAAAGTCTTTCAAATAAAGTGAAATGAAGCCAAAATCAGCTAAAATTATGCAATGTCGTAAAATGGCGTTACTGGAATATGATGCAATCACCTGTGATGTCATACACGTATTGCCACATCAACAACTAAACAAACAATTAATAAATACTTCACTGATTGGTTTAAAGATTCTTCGCATCATTTGTGACGTAATAAACATGTTACCCAACCAACAACTAAACAAATAACAAATAGGCATACAGTTTCGCTCAGTGCCACGCTCTTGAATCAGTTATAAACAGGATAATCAACAGATATATGATAGGGTCAGGATTTTTTTTGACTTGGAGACCTCGACTCGAGGAGTTTGCTGCATTTTCTTGTTTAAATATATAAATAACTAGAAAATTGAGCGGTCTTCTTTTGAACATTGCAAAATTTCTCATCATGCAGATCTGTGGTGGTAGATCCACGATTTTTTTGTAATTTTCATGATTTTAGTTACAACCCTAATGTCAGTTTTATGAAATGGGTAATATGATTTTATATGGATATTTATACATTATGGTAGAAAACATAGTTTAAAATCAAAACATTATAATTGAATGATGAAATCACATTTCATTTTTTGTTTTCAACTTTTGGGAGAAAGTACGGAACATCAAGGATTTATCATAGCAAATTAAACAACATTGCATACTCTCCATGATTCAGAGAGGATTTCATAACTAAAATCGTTACTGATTCATTTACATGTACAATACAGTACTAGTAAATTATATCATCATTGTATATACAGTAGTACATTATTTAGTGCCTTGGCGATATGCTGATTCACCAAGGCATTGACTTATATCTAATTACATACTATACTGTCTGTGAGTAAGTCTACATCAACAATCAAGCAGACTGTGGTCACAATGCCTTCTAATGATAGAACACAGCGTTGCGTCCCTCATATCAAATAATTCATTGATCATTAACTACCTAATCCCATTAGGTCATTAATGAAAAAAATAATGTTTATGGTGAACCATTTCGATGACAACAAATTTGGCCAAGTATCAAAACATTAATAAAAGCTGATAATTCATGAAAACAGGAAAATTATAAAATTAGTAGATAGTTATACATGTATGTTAATTCAATCATGTGTTTATCAAAACTTCAACTTCCTTGATACTAAGTAGATGTATAAGCCTTGCTCTGTCGGGTTATTTTGCATGTATCAAAATTTAAGAGGCGTATAATTATTACATTTAAGGGAGCATTCTGTTTTACCAAATGTTTTGGAAAGTTCAATACAAAGAAGGCATGGGTATTTACTAAATTTTACAACTATAACTATCATTGATATCATAACAATATTTGAGCAATTTTTTATGAAACGTTAAATTTTATGAAAAGTGTTCAGATTAGACAGGTTAGTTTTTCAAAAATGACTGTTCACTGTTCAAATTGAGAGGTGTGCACATTTCAAGTTATTTTTAACATGGGAGTCAAAGGGAAGAAAAAATGGGACCAAAAAAAGTGTTTAGATTGGGTAGCCTTTCCCAATGGCCATGATGATATCATGGCCATTACGCATACCTATATTTATAATGACGCAGCAGCAAACTGCGATAAACTATGCACCTACCCTATCTCTGAATGCTCCGAAATCACTCTGCAACGTTTTTAGTGAAGTAATTTGGTATTTCATGAGTAATTAGGAGATTTTTGTTAAAAATTTGGAACTAATTTTGAAAATTAAAATCCTCTTTATGCGCATGCGCAGGGTGCACGTGTCAAACTAATCGCGCGTTCAACTAATCAAAATCATTATTTCAATATAGTTTAATAACATAAACGGACAATTATATGAATGTATATAAATTATATGAATATATATGAATATTTGAAAAGAATATGATATCTCGCTACACGTTTAGAAGCGTTAGCGAAATCTTATTATGATAATTTCCTTTCTTGGTGTTTATATAGATTTGCATAACGACCAGAGGAACCAGAATTTCTAAGTTGAAATTGCTTCGACATTATACTTAAAGAACAAAGGATTTACGATAATTAAGAACTCAAGAACTCAACCATTTCGTTATAAACCCCCCCCCCCCTAGACTGTATCCTTCGTCTGAATAAATTCAGACTGTAAGTCACCTATTGTAAAATGTGGTGTTGTATAAATGTTACAAATAAGTTTGTTAAATGATAAAATGATTACCTTATAAAGAACTTACAATATTATTTTTTCGTATATTGTCCTCTTACTGAAGATATTCATAAAATGTACAGACGCTTCTTGTAGCGAAGCCATTGATTAGGTCAAGCCATTTTGGCAATGCCAATTCTCACGATAAACGAGATTTAGCCAGTGACGTCAGTCTATTTGTAAACAAATAACACGTGGAGCGGACGGAGCAACATTACGGAAGCATATCGATAAATTCCATTTGTGCGGGAATTTATTAGATCTAGTCATTTATTATCATTATTCCGATTAATTTTCGTCATTTATAGTAAATAGAGCGGAAATATTCATGAAGAAGGCCGAGGTAATCAAGTGGTCATGTGTTGTCAAAGTTCAAAAATTTGCATATCTCGTTTGGATCTCGTGAACTCAAACGTCCTTGACATTGATTTCCGCGATCTACTTAGAACACATCCTGAAGTTTTGGTGAGTCTGAACATTTCATTATTTTATATCAACTTGTACCCGCCTCATACAAATATTTTTGCTTCTAGTTAAGATGAACATCTCTTCAACATATTCACCAATTTTCAAGGTGAACATTCTTGTAATAAACGAGAAATTTATGTGCAAAAAATATCACCGCGATTTCCACAGGAAATATATCAATCATAACAGACCGAATATTATATTCGGTCTGTTGGATACATACTACCCCCCCCACCCCCCTATTTCTGAAAGATCAACAAACCTCAGACCGGAAACGAACCTCACTCTCAGAAAGATGACTATTTGGGCGCAAATTGCACATTTATACTAGCTATCTATCGTGCATACTATAATCTATAATTTGATTCGTTCGTTGAAACTGCTTCCATCATGCGAATCTCCCCCCGCCTTTGCCACAAACCCCCCTTTCGTTATAAAACAAGACAATAATTGGTATAATTTTGAAAGCGCACACATTACAACAGAAATGTAGTACATTCTAACAAGCATGAGTAAAGATCTAAAATAAAGTGACATAAATTCGGAAGTTTTATATTATAAAGGTGTCTGACATTCAGTAGTCTAAGATCTAAATGAACCAGGAAGTGATTTGACAACTGCAAATCAAAATATTTACCAACTTTCAAATGTGAACAGTACGTCAACCGATAAGCATAACTTGACAAACGTTGTTGAAAATATGCATTGCTATATAGTGCAAATGAAAATAAATTTTAAATGGAATGTATAGAGCCAAATTACCTTTTTTCTGCTAAAACAAAGACGGAAATTTAAGATTCAATTCCTAAAAAAATGGCAGCGTGATATGTGTTTCCGGCAAAGCACTAGAAAGTAGTTTCATAAAGTAGTTCTTATACGAACTTACTTGAGAGATCTTGTAAATGTTTGCAGTATCAGTAAAATATTACTTTCATTTATCATAAAATGAAATGTAAATAAACGTATGTTTAGAAATAAGTTATATTAGTAATTTAATATAGAAGTTTTATTACGCGGATGAATAGGGTCAAGGTTGGAGGTCAAAATTCTGAAATGAAAGTTTGACATGTTTGAAAACCAATATTGTTCTTTCAATTATTTCCTTGATCTAAAGACTTGTAAGTACGTAATGAATGTTGTTTCAAATTAGAAAACTATGTTGGGGTTTCTTTCTAAATCACGCATTTTCAACCTTGTGATTGAGCACGTTTCAAGGGCTTTATGGCCAAAATTGTCAAAATTTCAATTTGAAAATTTTGGTTGGCTGACTCTGAGCACCTAAGGCAAGATGTTTCAACCTGTAAATGTCTTCACTTAGATAGCACACAGGAATTGTATAAGTGAACTGACAGATTACTTACACTAGTTACAGTTGTGCTTTACGCCACTAACCTCACTTCACACCGGGCCGGAATGAGGTGTAATTCTCGAAATCGTTGTTCCCTTTTCAAAAGAGAAGACGCGAAAATCTTTCCTTATAAGGGCAAAATATTTCCCATGATGCAGTTCGCGGAGGAACAAATTTATACTTCCTTATTTTCCCTCAGGTTTTAACATGGGGATTTTCACACCTATTTTTCAAACGATATATTCGTTCATATTCCCGTACGAGAGTACAGAAAAAATTATTAGAAATGATTGATCTCTCATTAATCTTAATATAACAGCTATTTTTTTCATTGTATTAATTCATAGCGTGGTGAAAACGATGATTGAAAAGTGAGAAAATATTCCGGAAGAGAAGGTCACGTGATCAGTAGACTAGTCGCCATATTGGAAAAAAAAACAATTCCATTCGACTTTCAATACTTTATGCCAATCTTACCGCACTACAAACTGCGACATCGATGCAACAACTGAATAAAAGTATTCATCTTCAAATTACATTATAGAGTTACCTTGAAAACCCACAAACAACTGAGCAGTAGACCAAAGAAGACTGTCGCTATTATCTAGGTCAATCTGTTCGGTGGTCCGAAAGCAAATCTATAGTACTCGTTTCCGAATTTTGTTGTTCATTGTACAATCTTTTATTGATTAAACTCGGTATACTGACTATTAAAGCAATGACAAAGAAGAATACTTACGATGGTGTCATTGTTTTATTTAGCGTGCGGGTGTAAAAACAAAATTGAGTAATTAGTTTGATTTAGAACTTTCGTGTCACGCAAATAGCTACGCGAAATGCATAGTGGGAAAATATTGACCAATCAAATTTTGTCCTTTTTGAATGCTTTTTCAGTGCATATTTGCGAACGTGCTGATTCAAAGAGCGAACCGCGAAAAGGTGAGTTGGTGAATCGGTTCTTCAAATTTGAGGTGGAAATGTCAGGCCGTCCAACTGTTTCGCAATTTGCATATTTGTGACATATTTGCTGGAAAATTTGAAGTCACGTCAGTTTTTTTGCATGACAGAATATGTCATGCAAATACGCATTTTACCTGATTATTGTCAAGTAAAAGTATTTTTGGAGAAAAACTTCAAGAAACTGATCACCGATACAGCAAAAAATAAATGCCAAAAAAAATGAATGCATTTCGTTCTGACTTTTCACACGGATACCTAATATGTATGTCACGCATTTTCCTCGCAATTTTTCTACCATTTCTAACATTTGTAAGTCACTCATGTTAGGTGAACACTGAACACTATTTTTGTTATAAATTTTTTGTTTCTTTATCAATCTTTAAGAAATTTGGAGCCCAGACAAGGCAAACATCATAGCGACACCCAATTGTATTGTATTTCAGATTTTTGATATTCAAGTTTATTCACGGCTTATGTTTTAAAATTTACTCCGAAAATTATATAAATTTTTTAAATCAATTAATATGTTTTGCATAACTGGTAAAATTTTCAAATGCATAGCTTTAAATGATTTTAATGTGAACTGATCGGGGTTTGATGATAGGTATTACGACTGCTTCAAATCCAATATGGCATCATCTTTATTAGTGGCGCAAAATCTAAAAGATGTCACAGTCTGTCCAGTTTAAGAATGAGTTGGATGACCATTAGTACAAAAACTCACTGAAACCAAGGGAAAGATCAATACCCGGTGATTTCAGCGGGAAGTGGCGTTTCGTTCATTGGATGAGCTGCGCGCGCACGCATAAATGTGATTATCCAATATAATTAGGGGAGGGCTATTTGAAGTAGATTTTGGTCTCAGGCGCGACCCAGGGCTGTTGTCTTAAGGACATTTCGTTGAAAATGAGCCATTCGGCTGATAATTGGTAAGAGTTTGCGATCTTATAATGTATAACTGTTACTCAGACACATATTTTGACACGATTCTGTTGGAAATAAGCTTTGAACCGAGAGATATTCACGATTGATATGCACATTTTTGATTGTGCCATTGCTTTTCTATTGTACAATCCATGTATTGATAGAAGAAACATTAATAATGCAGATTGGTTTACCTTCAATACATGGCAGACACTACATATCGGTCTATTAATACCAGTTTGTGCCTTAAATAGTTTTATATTTCCATCCACGGCCTGGAGCCTGGGTGTGTTTGTCTCTTATGTGTATTGTGCATGGACTTCTAATCACTAGCAGAATTTAACATGATGCAAACTCGACATTATAACTCATGCTGTAACATTTTGACTTCGCTGGAAAACAATAGGAATTATTTTTCTTGCCAATCAATCATGAATCACAATCAAAATTTCAGAATGATCAATCAGGCAATGGTCCAAATCAAGTTATAACATTATATGATATTCAGCAAGAAGTCCGGTAGAAATACAGAATATTTAAACATCAAAGCTGAAAGTTAAAAGCTAATCTGTCAATTTTCTGTCTGCAAAAGAGCGTCCCAAGAGCGTTTACATTTGACACAATAACAGACTGAGGCTTTGAAATCTAGGATTCCCCAGGAAAATATGACGTCATACTAATTAGCATAAGGATTTCCCTCTTGGTGTGGGTCGAGCCTTGTTCGAAAACACAATCCATAAATACATGCTAATTTCTAAGGAGATAGGAAGTGTATAACGTGTTTATCGATTTTGTTTAAAGATTTAATCAATTATCAAATTGTTTAAGTGGATAAAGTGGTCACACTTGCTTCAATTCATAGCGAAATCGACGGATAGAAACTGACCGAATTCCCGATATCCTACCCCGTATTACTGTAGGCTATAAGCACAGTGACCTACAGAGGGCGCTATCACAAACAAGTACTGGACGAACCGATAAATTCCCGGGTATTGTAACGCCCTTGCTGAAACTAGACTGGGAACGTAAACTTTATGGGTATACATATACCAAATATGTCTTGATGTCAAATCCACCCACCCCATACAGGCATGGCAAAAGGCCACACAAGCCTAGATTGTGTTTATCTTATCTTAATGTTTTTTATTTATAGATTTAAAACTTCGTGACGTCAGTGGTGATTCCGGATTATAGAAATAGAAAATGTTACGTTTGCAACCAAGGAGCTGTTATAAAAAGTTAGGACATTGTGTAATTCGCTATTTAAGCAGTACTTCCGAGGCAACCCCTCATGTTTGCATCGTAGGAAGTGGACCAGCAGGCTTTTATACAGCTCAGCAGCTCTTGAAGGTAGGACAGATTAACCCAAACTTTTGGTCGGAATAATCAATCTACGATTATTTGCTCACTAGGTGAGCCAATGGTATATTTCACTCACCCATTTTTCTCTCCATCCTTCAACAATTTTAGATGAATATAATTTGTCTGAAGCAATCGCCCAGATCTATAGTCTTTCTCTTCATAAAGAAAAGTAAACAAATTCTGGCATTATTCTGCAGTGCTGTGTTTAGAGGAGTCAAACTATTTGATGGAATTTTCTTGTAATTCCAGGGTCACCCAAAAGTCCGAGTGGATATTCTAGAGAAGCTTCCTGTTCCATTTGGACTGGTGAGATTTGGAGTTGCCCCTGATCATCCTGAAGTGAAGGTAGGTAGTAAAACAATCTCTAAGCATTTCATCCAGTGCGATTTTGTCGTCTTCCTGCTCTCTGCACATACTCTTAATTCTAGAGAAACTTACTGATTCATTTGGGCTGGTGAGGTTTTGGGTTACAATTGTGTAAGACAATCTCTGAGCTCTAATTCATGCAGTGCTTCCCTCTGCAAACTCTTGATTTCTTAGGGATGATTATTAACATTGGCTGAACAATGAGAAAGAGGTGTGCGCCAAGGTCATAGCCAGCACAATTGTGGACAAGGGGGGTGCAAATATTTAGGTTTGCATCACTGTGACTGAAGTGAGCCCTAAAAAGGGGGTAAGGGGGTTCAACCCTGGAAAGTTTTTAAAATTCACAATGAATATGTTGCATTCTAAGCATTTCAAACTACATGTATAATTTATTAATGCTTTTTCAACAAATTTTACAAATTTTTTTTTACAGATTTTTTTGTTGGGGTGATACTTTCCTGAAAAAAGCAAGGAAATACACACATGCCTTCATACTATATTCTGTACAAGAAAATAACCTGTGCAGGTATAGCAATTTTTTTCAAAGATATTTTCGTTCCACCGGTACATAATATTCTGTGCTCAGTTGATAGTACTATGAGTGTTTCTGCATTTGAGTCACTCAAAAATCAAAAATCAGTAATTATTTGTAGAGTGTTCATAAAAGCATATTTTTAATAATCTTGCAAAGTATACTTCATGCATCTTGTCATGATAAAATAAACTGTATTCACCTTGTCATGTCTAATCCATAATGTTTCATAAGAGGGGGAGAAACACCAGGGTTCAAAGATGACATACGCTTATAATGTAAATCTGTATTGAGATGACACGGTCGCTGATTGGTCAAAAGTCGACAAACAAATGACGTCATCAATGGCGGTTTCAAAATTTTCGAAATACACTTCGAATAATATTATGTTCATTTCTGGCGTGTTAACCAATATGATAGCTTCTCATTTCACATCAAGATAAAGAAAGGTGTACGGAATATGCCTATATCAATTATAACATCCCACCGAAGTGTAGTATTTGATAACTAGCCGATGAAAATTCGAACGAACGAAGGTGGTAAGCAAGAGAGGTAATTATGTCTGTCATCTTGAAACTCTGGGGCTTTCCCTCCTCTGTGTTTCATTTAATGAATACCTGTGCCCAAGATATATCTTTTTGATTTTATTGCATTCCCTTTTATTATGACAAATAACAATTTTACACATATTTATATACAAATCAAATGTGTTTATTTTTTCTGTGATTGATCTATTCTGCTCAATTCAAATTTTTTTCAAGGGGAGTAATAAATTAATATTAATTAACAAGAGCCATAGGTTGATAAAATTAAATATCAACATTCAGCACTTGACTTGACAATTCCATGCATAAAATTTCAAGATAAATATGATGCTTTTTTATGGTTTTATTGAATACTAAACAGTGACAAAGAGTGGAATTACCTAGAAATCATACAACCACACATGTGAAGTTACATACAAAAGTTTACGATAAAAATTGTCTTTTTTGTCAGTGTTTGAAATTGTGTCAAAAGCCTGTTTTAACTCAGGATACATTGTATATGAACAGTGATAACCGTACCAGCTGTCCCATGATTTCATATCAAATTAAAACCATGATTCGCTTTGTGACATACTTTTGTATATTGGTAAATGTGTATTGTCAATGGAGGCTCCATTTGAGATCTTTAAGATGAACATCAAACTAAATTTTTAGTCAGAGAGTTGTATGGCAAGAGTTGATGGAAATTAAAAGTATCATGTGCAAAAATATGTAGATCTTGTCCATAGGGTACCTGATATATTATTTCTATATACAGGTTATGTTAAGGGTTTCTGGTAAATTCCCTTCTCTATTAGGGTCATGTCTATAGGGCATCTGAGTAATTACTTTCTCTATATACAGGGCATCTGGAAAATTCCTTTCACTATCTAGGTCATGTCTATAGGGCATCTGGAAAATTCCATTCTCTATGTAGGCCATGTCTAATAGAGCATCTTGGAAATTAAATTATTGTAACGGGGCGAGGGAAGGTCTGTAGGTGGCAATAATATAAAAGTCAACAGAAAAGTAATATAAAATACGATAAAAACAAATCTATTTCAATTCTTCAAAAATCGTGTTCTGTACAGTCTATGTATACAAGCAACAACTCTAGTAAAGGGAGAACACCCCAACTCAGCTAAATGTGAGTGAATGCTATTATACAGAATACAAATACAGTACGAAAAAATCACACCATGAAAAGCTAAAAACTGGTTTAAACAAAGGAAGCTAAAGTAGAAAGTATATAAAAGAATTGAAAACATTGGAAAATGGTATAAAGTAATGAAGGGACCTGTTAAAATGACATGGATGGGAATTGGTCAATATGAATAGTACAAATATATAAACAATGTGAAAATGACTATGTTACATCATGTTCTCATATGTCTACAGGATATCTGGGAAATTCCCTTTTCTATATGGGTCATGTCTCTATTTTCGGCTCATATCCATGTAGAAGTCTATTGGGCATCATTGAAATTCCCTACTCTATATAGGTCATATCTACAGGATATTTGGGATATATCCTTTTCTATATGGGTTTGGTTTCCATTTTGTTGGTCAAATCTACACAGAATCTGGGAAAGTCCCTGTCCTTCCAACAGTATAAATTCCTAAGATTATATATGCATACCTCATAATCTTTGATTATCAACTTTATGTTTTAAATCATTATTGGCCTTGTTGATTGTTTCATTTAACTTCGCTGGAATGTTTCTACTGTTAATCCACTTTGTGGCAGTTATATTTGAGATCATCTTGGAGAATTGTTTTTCAAAAAGTTTGTCATCAATGACAACATCCCTGAGATGGACGATGTATGTGTTTTCCTTCTGCTTCAATTTGATTCCTATCACCAACAATATGAGACATACTGTGGATAGTAGCAGCTTCAGACTCCTGGCTCCTAAAAAATAATGAAAATGTTCGAATTCAAATGGAAATCATAAGGCTCTAGTAGATCCAGGGTGGGGGAGGGGCAGAAAATCTTTGAGGGCCCCAACAAAGACTTTTCGGGCATAATTTAAGGCCTTTTTTAGGCAAAATTATCAAAAAATTGGCCTTAAATGTTCAAAATTCCTGACTCAAAATTGGGCAACCCCCCTTGTTAGCTTCTGGATCCGCTAGTGTAAGGGGCATCTTTAGTAACATAGGAAAACAATATCAGGGATCTATCTCATTCTAAGGGGAACTCAATTGAAATTTTTCTGTTCAAAATCCATCTCAAGCCTTATAAGAATTTAAAAAGTATTCATTGTGGGTCACTGTTCATTGTGGGTCACTATTCATTGGGAGTCTCTGTTCATTGTTGGTCTCTATTCATTGGGGTTCTCTGTTCATTGTGGGTCACTGTTCATTGTAGGTCACTATTCATTGGGGGTCACTATTTATTGGGGTTCTCTGTTCATTGTGGGTCACTGTTCATTGTAGGTCACTATTCATTGGGGGTCTCTGTTCATTGTGGGTCTCTATTCATTGTGGGTTTCTGTTCATTGTGGGTCACTGTTCATTGTGGGTCTCTATTCATTGGGGTTCTCTGTTCATTGTGGGTCACTGTTCATTGTAGGTCACTATTCATTGGGGGTCTCTATTCATTGTGGGTTTCTGTTCATTGTGGGTCTCTGTTCATTGTTGGTCTCTATTCATTGGGGTTCTCTGTTCATTGTGGGTCACTGTTTATTGTAGGTCACTATTCATTAGGGGTCTCTGTTCATTGTGGGTCTCTATTCATTGTAGGTTTCTGTTCATTGTGGGTCACTGTTCATTGTAGTTTTCACAGTCTCTACTTTTTCTTTATGTTCACCCACACGCTTTAGATAAAGGGTGAATTTGATACATAAAAATGTATAAACAGTTTAAAAAGTCATATTTTCAACTTTCTTGAAAAACCTAGTCGTAAAAATTGAAGAGGTATACAGTGGTGCAACCTGTAATTTTTTGTAACACTACCTTGAAATAAATAATTAATGATAATGAGCCTCTCAATTATCTTCAAGAAAAGTGTATATAATGATAATTTAGTTAATCAGACCTAAGTGATATCGAAGGGGCAATGGACCAATCAACACACTTTTTCAAAAATGTTGACCTAATTTTCACCAAAAATGCAACCTTTTATATTACATTGTTGAATACATAATTAGAATGTGCTTTGAGACATGTTCGATTTCCTAAAAGAAAAAGTTGATTGTTCCAGGGACTTTCAAGATACTGAATTTGGATGGCCAAAATAAACTGAAACCAATGGATAGCATGAGCTTTTTCAATGGAGAAATAACATGGGGAACACTTATCTTAAAGCAATTAAGTTTTTCTTTCAAGAACTATTTGATACATCAAAATAAAGAATAGTAATGCATTAAACATTGTAAAAAATGATTGCATTTTTGGTGAAAATGGGGTCAACATCAAAAGTGTGTTGGGGTCAAAAGTGTGTTGATGGGTTGATTGCTAGTTAAATATCTCTGAATTTGTTTGACTTTATTATTACAGTCTGTTACACTGCTTCAAAGGCAAGCAGTTGAACCTGAAAAATAAGAAATCTAAAGACCATTGTGCCATAATATATAGAAAAATATATTCATATTGCTCACGAATGACATTTGTATATTTCAGATTATTCTTGTAATTTGAGGTCTGTCCGCCATGTTATTTTTTGAGAATTAACGTGGTAGAGAAACATCAAAATATAAGAGGTTACAGACTTTATGAGCCAATCTACAAGCAATCCAATATATACAAATGTCATTCGTGTGCAATATGAATATATTTTTCTATATATTATTGCACAATATTATTTAGATTTCTTATATTTCAGGTTTAACTGCTTGCCTTTGATGCAGTGAAAAATACTTTTTTTACTGTATATAATTAGCTCACATGGTGAGCTTTTGCAATCACTCACTTGTCCGTCTGTCTGTCCGTCCGTCCGTCCGTCCGTCTGTCCGTCCGTCAACAATAGTGGCACGTTTTAAAACCTCTGTCGATAGGATTCCTGTTTTATGTTATTTCTGTTCAAGATCAATACAGAAAACCCCCCTATGACTCCTGGTTCAAAAGCTCGCCTATTTTCAAAATGGCCGTCACTTTTGTCTCGCGAAATTCACTTTTGACCCATTTCCTTTAAAACCTCTGTCGATAGGATTCCTGTTTTAAGTTATTTCTGTTCAAGATCAATACAGAAAACTCCCCTATGACTCCTGGTTCAAAAGCTCGCCTATTTTCAAAATGGCCGCCATTTTTGTCTCGCGAAATTCACTTTTGACCCATTTCCTAGCTTTACAAATAATTTCAAGTGTCCTACATTGTAAAAATCCATGTCAATGTAAAGATGTATGAAATAATTTTGTTACGAGAAATCTGCGAAAAATTATATCCATTTTATTATTTTCAGCCATTTTAGTTAACATTGATTTGTCCATCTGTCTCGCAAAATCCACTTTTGGACCATTTACCTTAAACCCTCTGTCGATAGGATTCTCGTTTTAAGTTAATTTTGTTCAACATCAATACAAAAAACTCTCCTATGACTCTTGGTTCAAAAGCTCGCCTATTTTCAAAATGGTTGCCATTCTTGTTTCGCGAAATTCACTTTTTGCCCATTTCCTAGCTTTACAAATAATTTCAGCTGTCCTGTATTGTAAAAAGCCATGTCACTGTAAAGAGTAGTTGTATGAAATAATTTTGTAACAAAAAATCGGCAAAATATTATATCTGTTTTTTTTTATTTTCAGCCATTTTAGTTAACATTGATTTGTTCATCTGTCTCGTGAAATCCTCTTTTGGACCATTTACTTAAAACCTCTGTCGATAGGATTCCAGTTTCACGTTATTTTTGTTCAACATAAATACAAAAAAACTCCCCTTTGACTCCTGGTTCAAAAGCTTGCCTGATTTCAAAATGGTTGTCATTTTTGTCTCGCGAAATTCAATTTGGGCCCATTTCCTAGCATTACAAATAATTTCAGGTGTCTTGCATTGCAAAAAGCCATGTCACTGTAAAGAGTAGTTGTATGAAATAATTTTGTTCCAAATAATTGAAAAAAAATTATTTCCGTTTTTTTTTCAGCAATTTTACTTAACATCGATTTGTCCATCTGTCTCTCCGTCAGTCCAAAATAGTGGCAAGTGGCTTGAAATAATTTTGTTACAAAAAATCAGCAAAAAATTAAATCCGTTTTTTCTGTCACCATGTGAGCCCAGTACCCACGGTACTAATTTTTTTCTTTGAGATAATGAATTGATCTAAAAGATAAACATGTCTTCATTGTCAGAAAATAGAAATAGTCATAATCCAAGATATAACCTTCTGAAATAGTATAGTTTCTAAATAAAGCTGAATAAAGCTGACATAATATATGTCACCTTTGTTCATCTTGGGCCAACCTTCCCTTGAGTTCTATGCTAAAAGCTTGCAATAGTCACTTAATTTCATGATTTATCAAAGAGTGCTAGTTAAATCTGTCTGAAACTTGAATGGCATACTATTAAATGATCCTGTCAATGAACATATTGTGATTAAACATGAAAATGTCGGTTGTCATAATTAAACCATGGTTTTAAAGAATTTTAGCATAACATCAATGGAGATTTGGCCCAAGTTTTTTTTTAAATGTCATGGAGAATGATTTAAATGACATAAATGTCTCATCTCAAAGCTATTATTGTAGGAAACATATCACCGAATTCAAATATGCTATTAAAAAGAAAGTAAAGTAAGTCATTAGAGGTAAAATGTGCAAGTCTCTTAAAATCACATGAAAAAACGAGAATTAGCCAGATTTCAAAATCATTTAGAAACTCCTCTATTGTTTGTGATAACCTACGTGCTCCTTTTACTGGATATCACATTTCTTTTATGTTTGTCTGAATTGACCCAAATCAATTGTATCTGGTCGACCTAAATAGGACTTGATCAATGCTCACTGTTTGCACCAGTTCTACATTGCATGCAAATAGGTTTTTTTATTGATTGTAAGACTGTTGATGTGTATATTTTTTACAAGATCTATTGATTCGATACAATTGTATGTAGCAGCTTTTATGTGTGTTTTGGTAAGCAGGTCATACTCACTGGTGATCCACTCGATTACGCTGGCTACCAAAACGGTTCGTTTTGGTAACAAAATGTCGGAACGTCGAAGGTACGATTTTTCTTTTTTTCTTATTTCACGCGTTGTAGGCAGAATCCCCACGATGTTTTTTCTCACAAACGTATATCAGTATCATATGTTTTAGAAAATGTTCATGTTTGCGAAAAAATAGCTCAGAAGACAACAGAATCGTCGATTTAATTCCTCACTTAAGTTACATAAACGGTTTTGGTTAAAAGTGCAGATCTTAACTGTTTTTCAAAAAACCGTTTATGTAACTTAAGTGAAAAATTAAATCGACGATTCTGCTGTCTTCTGAACTATTTGTTCGCACATATGTAGATTTTCTTAAACATATGATACTGATACACAAACGTATATAAAAAATGTCGTGGGAATTCTGCCTACAACGTGTGAAATAAGGAAAAGAGAAAAATCGTACCTTCGACGTTCCGACATTTTGTTACCAAAACGAACCGTTTCGGTAACCAGCGTAATCGAGTGGATCACCATTAATCTAAATGAGCATTATCCCTGCTTCGAACAAATTTGATTTTTTTACATAATATAGATTTGAATGTCTTCTTTTGAATAATCAGAATTTGATTTGGGTAATATTTATAGATTTTTCGCAAAAAAAATATTAGCGCAGTACACTATTGAACTTCTTTCCCCAAATCGAGACTTGTATTTTATTGAATCGGTCTAATTGAGCATTATCCCTGCTTCAGACCAATTTGTTATTTTTACATCTTGTAGATTTAAATGTTCTCTTTTGAATATTCAAAGTTTAATTTGGGTAATATTTCTATATTTTTCATGAAAAAAATTATTAGCCCAGGAGACTATTCTCCAAACCGAGAATCGTCCTTTGCCATTGATAAAGATGTGAGTGAAAAATCAAAACTGTAAGAATAGGCTAAAAATGAAACTTTACTAATCTTAATCTTGTGGCATTGCCAACGTCCTGAAGATAAATTCAAATGAAATATATTTATTAATACAGTGTCTCTCACACTGTTAAACTTAGGTTACTATAGCAATCATATTAAATATAACTGTACAAAAGAAAAACATACTTTTCATTTCGTTTTATCTGCTGAATTAGTTGAGCTTCTGATTTTGCAGTTTCATTCTTTATCTCTCCCTTAAGTCTTCAACTTCAGCTAGGGTGTACAGAGATTGCTCTCTGAAAGTCTATACTGTTTTCTGTCTCTTTTATTCATATCTGGTATTATATATATCCAAGTGTATCATTCCCAAATACACACAATGTTTGTTCAGCTATCTAAGCCAATCCACCTTGGCGGTGTCCCGGGGGGCGATGTTCTTTATTGAAACTTTTTATTATTTCTAATACCTGAGAAACCTGAAGGTAACGTAATCCTTCCTCCATTTACTGATATGTTAAATGAACCTCTCCGAGTTTATAGTTTTATACAGTGATTTGTCCTTAGATTATTTTTAACTTTCAGTTTTCTGATGTACGTTTTTAGTTCAATTAAAGCAGTTTAATGCTGTCTATGGAATCACATCTGAAACTGTTTTAATCAATCAATCCCTTTTGGTATCAATACCATTTGGTACACTGTTATTCAAATGCTCTAGTCAACTGTTTGTCTCTTATTGCCTTTATGAAGATATTCAATAATACTTCACATGCACCTGATACAATTGCCATCCAAATTCCAATATGCATATTGTATTTTTCAATTCTAAACTCATGTGATTATTCACAGCACTACTTGTGGGTTTCTCTGTATGCAAATAAAATTTTCATGATTTGAATTTGTTATCTCTGAGTTTGAAAAAGTACACCGTCAACATGCTCAGTTATGATTTAACTCTTAGATAAATGCCAATCTTAAATGAATGCTGATCCAAAATGAATGCTACTCTTAAATGAGTGCCATTCTTAAATGAATGTCGACTTTAAATGAATGCTACTCATAAATAAATGCCACTCTTGAATAAATGGCAAACTTAAATGAATGCCAATCTTAAATGAATGCTGATCCAAAATGAATGCTACTCTTAAATGAGTGCCATTCTTAAATGAATGTCGATTTTAAATGAATGTTACTCTTAAATAAATGCCACTCTTAAATAAATGCCAATCTTAAATGAATGCTGATCCAAAATGAATGCTACTCTTAAATGAGTGACATTCTTAAATGAATGTCGATTTTAAATGAATGCTACTCTAAATAAATGCCACTCTTAAATAAATGGCAAACTTAAATGAATGCCAATTTTAAATGAATGCTGATCCAAAATGAATGCTACTCTTAAATGAGTGCCATTCTTAAATGAAATGCTACTCTTAAATAAATGCCACTCTTAAATAAATGCCAATCTTAAATAAGTGCCAATCTTAAATGAATACCGATCCAAAGTGAATTCTGATCTTTATAATTATTGTTGTTTTATGTTGGATAATTATTGATCTTCTGATGCACAAATGATTTTTTTATATCTGATTGGATTATTGTTCAATAAATAATTTATAAATGTTGAATGTTATCAGAGTGGAGCTATATAAGGCTTTGGATATGGGGTTCATCCCGAGTGAAATATGCTCATCTACCCTAAAACTCTACATGGCATAGGATAAAGTGTATTACCACAAGATATTGCCTAAATGGATAACAATAGAGTTCCTCAGAATTATAGTCGAAGTAAAGCGTAGATTTACCATGGGTTTGATTTACATGTTATTTACTTGTCATAGTTTATTGTTATTGAAATATTCTTTATTTATGTTCTGTATTTTGTTTTCAGAATGTTATCAACACATTTACCCAAACTGCACAAAATGACAGGTGTCGCTTTATCGGAAATGTGCATGTCGGTGATGATGTCACAGTGGCCCAGTTACGCCATCTTTATACAGCTGTTGTGTTTGTACGTACCAAAAATTGTTATTCCTAAAATATTTTCTTATTGTTCATGTTTATTTCAATGAATCATTAGACAAAAACAACAAATTACATAAAAGTGTCAGGATTAATTTAATATTGATCTGTTATGTGGTTTATACTATATTCACATAGCCAAGGTGTGTCCAAATCCAACTCAGGCCTTGTTTCTTAAACTTGGCACTCAATCTTCAGCATTTCTTGTGCAAAGTTTGAAACAATGCCTGAGTTGCAATGATCACAGTCTACAATGCACCGAGTCCAGGGTTTAAATCCTGAAGTTGATATTTTAGAAATATGGCACAGATAAGTTTGATTATACTGTTCTTCCTTGAGTTTAGCACCATCTTTCTGAAAACTAAAGTTAGAAATTTCCAATTTTATGTTTGATGGTGAAATTATGTTTTGTTTGTATCACCACCAGAAGTTGTGGTTCCAACTTTTTTGTGGGTGGTGTTTTGCGGTTAGAATTTGTCAGCAGTTGGTGTTCTGTCGAAACTGAAAGCCACTGGCATGGCCTAAAAGTGTTCAGATTGTCACTTATTCAGATATCCAGGTTTTACGATATGAAATGGTTTATTATTTCACAACCAGAAGTAGCGACATACTATTTTTGGGTATGGTGTTCGACAGTCTGTGGTTGGTGTTTGTTGGTTGACTTTTTTGAGGGTTGGTGTTCAGCTTCTGTAATAAATGGCTGGTGGTGACATTTTACATGTTAATTCCTTGTTGTTTTATTGGTGCAGATACATAAATTCTTTTTTTTTGTTATTTATAGTGCTATGGTGCTGACGATGACAGAACACTAGGGATCCCTGGAGAGGTAAATACAAAACCCAATATATTCTAGTGTCCGTGCAAATATTGGAATGTATTTTATTTATATATATTTATTTATATTTTTTGATATGCATCGAATTGTTTGTAATTTTATGAATTAACACAATAGAAATTATTTTGGTCAATAGTTTATTACACCTAAACTAAGAACAATGTTATATAATATTAAAATTCAAAATTACATAATATTTTTTAAATGCATAGATAGAGCTAATAGTAAAAATATATCATATACGTCATACAAGGTTCAGGCTATTGAGATTATCTTAAGGCCAATCTATAGGATGATTTGTTTATCCTATACTGTGTGTGTTTTGTACGTAAATTTTCAGAATCCCTGTACTTAACATTTTTTTGGGGTCTCCCTATTCTGGAATGATATTCAAATTCTATTAATTTCTTCATAAAAAAGAGCTATATTGGTTCTATAATTTCATATATCGTTCACACCATATTTAGTTTTGTACAAAACATTATTTTGATACAAAAATGTCCAAAATTTTAATTTTTTCCCATAACAGGCAATGTACAACTCCCAGCACAACAGGACATAAAGTCAGCCTATTTATTTACCTCAAATACATTAGTATTGGATATCACATTTTCAAAACCTGCAGTAGGCTATAGCCTCTCAGGCATAAAAAGTTATATAGAATTAATAAATCATATTTGGAACATTGTTACATAATATTTTATAAGATTAGTTATATTATGTTGGCTAATTATTTTTGTTCACTTAGCCATGTTCCTACTATAGTAGACTAGATATACTCAAAAAAGCGAAATGATTTAAAATATTGTAATATTCTGCCTCAGCAGTGAAAAATGTATTAGGGATGATTGCTATCCATGGATCATTATCTCCAGCATGATTGCTAATCAATGGATCATATTCAGCATGTAGATTGCAAATCCATGGATCATCTTTGGAATGATTGCTAATCAATGGATCATCTTCAGCATCATTGTTAATCCATGGATCATATTCAGCATGTAGATTGCAAATCCATGGATCATCTTTGGAATGATTGCTAATCAATGGATCATCTTCAGCATCAAAGCATCACAGATCATAAACGCATAAACATTCAAATCAAAGTACTTTCTACAAATGGAGATAATGTTCTTTAAAATTATTTTCAAAAATGATTCCCACCTTTCTTACACCTATGAAATGTACTATCATTTCTATTTTTTATAATATAGTCACTTTATAAGGCACAGAAAAATGTATTCTCTTATTTCAACCCAATGATAGATGTCTCTAGTGAGTTTCTTCTAATTCATCAACATAGTCTGCAACTTCTGTAACGAGCCTAACAGCTGCTGCGACATCATGATCATACACCCCTAAGATTACAATACCTTTCACTAGGAAAGCAGTAAAACCTCCAGTACGCCCATCCGTTGCAAAAAGCGCACGGTTTTCTTGAAGTTTTCCTGGCATGTACAGGGAACCAGTGCCAAGATCGATGCCATCTGGGTTAAGCGCATCTCTGTCGCCTTTTATTAGCTTCACCAGTGACTCTCGGGTAGATCTCAAAGGCTTGAATGTGATTGGTTGGTTGGCTCTGACATCACAATTAATGGCATTTATCACAATAGCATGTGATATTCTTCCTGATCGCATTAGTTTTCGCTCAACAAGTTCTTCAGCGAAAGGATCAGACTTTTTCTCCTTGGTACCCTTTAATTAAATAGTTCATTTAAAGTTTTGAATTCGTAATTGAAAATACAATGAATTACTCCGAATCAAGCTGTACTTTTTGGAAGTATGTACATTTACAATAGGAAGGTTAAGAAACACATTTTTAAAAACTTGTACGTGAACGTATTATGATCCTCTGTTGATCAATTCTACCATTTGTTTTGTTAGTACCTCAATTGAAATACTCAATTCTGATTGGTTTATGAGCGGTTGATGAGCGGCTACTTTTGAAAAAAATGTTTTTTAAATATTGAAATTTTTTAATTTTGAAAAAAATCGAAATAACAAGTTGTGAAAAAATTACAAATATTCGACAGTTTGGGCATTTTTGCTAAAATATGATACATACACTTATCAAATATGTTCGCATGATATTCGATAATATATACTTCCAATTATTATATTCTTCGGACTAACAAAACAATTGTTAACGTCTCTATTCGGTCAACTGGCAAAAGTGTATTCCTCAACAGTAAACCTTGAGAGTACTGTTGACAGTACTTTCAAGGTTTACAGTATCGGTATACAATTTTGCCAATTGACCTCAAGAGAGAAACTGTTTAAGGGTATACAGAAAAAATTGTAATAAGTTCCCTTGAAAAGTGAATTGAGAGCGGGATAGTAATCCCCAGGGTCGAAATATTACACGCTCATGTACAGATTCTTTTAAAAATATGTAACTTAACCTTTCTAATACCCAGGGGTTTCATTAGTTTCAGGCAACAGGCGATTTTCACTTGTTTTCACAAAATTGCTTGTTTTTTTTAGGGACTTTTCAACTTGTCCATGTTAAATTTATGATTACCATTAATTTTGCCATTGTTTTCATTTATTTATTTAGCCTGTTGTGAGAAATTCTAGTGAAACCCCTGAATACCTATAACATGAAACTCTATTATAGCTTGTACATTAACAATTGAAATTGCATTTTTATTATGCATGAGAATAACATCTGGGATGAATGTAATGGATTAACATCCCAGACATAGCATGCATAATTTCTTACAAACGCTACATACTAAATTTATATATATATGAATTTATATATCTTAATACACTACATAATATATATTTAAAAAATACTTACAGAGCATTGAGCTCCCATTTCTAGTTGTTCTGTTGTAGACATTTAATAAACTTGATAATATCCTTTAATAATAAATGTGTTAGTCAATCACCAATAATTGCAATGTATGTCTGAGTTCTACCAGCATAAAATGTTTAAATGAACTGCATCAACTGGAATTACATTCATTTATAATACGTATATGCGTCAGAAACAATTTCCTATGCATGTGAAGATAGTGTATTAAAACAGATGATGAGGTCATCAAATGAGGGTGATCTCTTATGGAAATGTAATTTTAACTAAGCTTGTATTCGCAAAAGCAACTAACGCCTGTCAGCTACTGGATTAACCTACTTTTTCATGACCTACTAATTAAAATATGAATGGAATAGTGACAGGTACTATTCCTATTTAAATGAGTTTCCCATAAAATAGCAGGTCAATCCGGTAGCCGGCAGGCGTTAGTTGCATTTGCTCTACATTGCTAATTGTCTTTAAAAAATATTAGTAAATGAATCAAATGTAGAGGTGTTTAAAGGATTAAAAATTAGGAATCCCACTGAATGTTTAATCCAGGGTTGTGGTGAGGAGGTGAGGCAAAAATTATTGAGGCAAAATGCTTATAGGTGAGGCAAGAAGTTTATTATATTATATATATAAATTTTGTTGAGGTAATTGCCTCACCTGCCTACCTCATGCTCGGCTGCACCAATGAAACTGAAAAGGATTTTAAGATTCTTACCATTTTAATAATCTATGATATTAATATTTCTTCTCGAGACCCCTTTGATTATGTAACTATAATTTAAAATTATCAACATGAGGGTATGATATCCCCTATATTCATCGTTTATTAAAGGGCCAATATCTGTAATACTTCCTGGTCATCTCAACCTTATCAACTCAACCAAATAAATCCCAATCCCAAGTCAACTCAACCCAGTAAAACTCTACCTTAAGTCAACTCAACCCCTAGTCAACTCAAACCCAGCAAAACTCATCCCTAAGTCAAATCAAGCCAGTGAAACTCAACCTCAAGTCAACTCAATCCCAGTAAAACTCAACCCTAAGTCAACTTAACCCCATTAAATCTCAACCTCAAGTCGGAACAACCCCAGTAAAACTCAACCGCAATAAAACTCAAATTAATTGATCATAGGGTTTAAGACTAATATAAGCAGGCCCGAAGCCAGGGAGGGTTTACAGGGTTCGGGCGAACCCTCCCCCCCCCAGGCCAAAAATTCTTTCAAAATCATGCAGTTTTTCCCATTTTTAGCATTTCTCAAGTGATTTTAGTCATATTTGGGCCAAAATTGTCAAATGTGAACCCCTCCTGGAAATTTTTGAAAACTGAACCCCCCTTGGCAAATCCTGGCTATGGGCCTGATAAGGTTGAAAGCATTATTGCCACAATTTAACATATTTTACATGTGGCAGTGAGGCAGCTGTGAGTTTAGGACCCAGATGCATCATCACTTTCATTTTAATGGGGGATGGGGATCAAATCAAAATGTAATAAATTTTTATAAATTATTATTTTGATACATCCCCCAATGTGTGCTTAATAACATCCGGGGATTTTATATAATTTACTAGCATAACAGAAATGTATCGAAGACAAGCTGATTGTGCATAGCTATATCCAGTAATTTTTATTAACATGGTAATATACATGATTACAATAATACATAACATACATAGCTTCATTGATGTACCGTATTCTCTGTAATTACCGTAGCAAAAAATGACATTGTTCATTTGAAAGTCCTTGATACAACACCAAAAACAAGTCTTACCGCAGTCAGTTTGACATAAGCCACTGCAATCTTCTGTTCCCTCCTTTTTGCATTTTTTGTGATGTAAAATGTGATTGGTTAAGAATTTTCTGATATTGGATTATGTTAGAATAGATAAATAATACTGAAATATATACATATACACATACAGTATGTTTATACAAAACCACATACACCACATACATATTCATCCCATGAGTGGGTTTGTCACATTAGTCTCTACTTTTAATTATTTGAACAAAGTTTGCTACTTATGTGATAAGCCTACAAGCAGTCTCAACATTATGGTTAAACACCCCTAAAACTAAGATGTCCTTCACTAGAAATGCTGTAAAACCTCCGCAGTGGCCATCAGTCGCAAACAGCTCACGGTTTTCTATCACTTTTCCTGGCATATACACTTTACCAATGCCAAGGTCGATGCCATCTGGGTTGAGTGCCATTGTATCGCCTTGTATTAGCTTCGCCAGGGCCTTTCGGGTAGATCTAGAAGGCCTGAATGTGATTGGTTGGTTTGCTCTGACATTAAAATTACTGAGGCAAAATTGTTGAGGCAAAATGCTTATAGGTGAGGCAAGAAGTTTATTATATTATATATATAAATTTTGTTGAGGTAATTGCCTCACCTGCCTACCTCATGCTCGGCTGCACCAATGAAACTGAAAAGCATTTTAAGATTCTTACCATTTTAATAATCTATGATATTAATATTTTTTCTCGAGACCCCTTTGATTATGTAACTATAATTTAAAATTATCGACATGAGGGTATGACATCCCCTATATTCATCGTTTATTAAAGGGCTAATATCTGTAATGCTTCCTGGTCATCTCAACCTTGTCAACTCAACCAAATAGATCTCAATCCCAAGTCAACTCAACCCAGTAAATCTCAATCCCAAGTCAACTCAACCCAGTAAAACTCTACCTTAAGTCAATTCAACCCCTAGTCAACTCAAACCCAGCTAAACTCAACCCTAAGTCAAATCAAGCCAGTGAAACTCAACCCCAAGTCAACTCAACCCTAAGTCAACTCAACCCCATTAAATCTCAACCTCAAGTCGGAACATCCCCAGTAAAACTCAACCGCAATAAAACTCAAATCAATTGATCATAGGGTTTCAGACTAAGGTTGAAAGCATTATTGCCACAATTTAATATATTTTACATGTGGCAGTGAGGCAGCTCAATCCCAGTAAAACTCAACCCTAAGTCAACTTAACCCCATTAAATCTCAACCTCAAGTCGGAACATCCCCAGTAAAACTCAACCGCAATAAAACTCAAATCAATTGATCATAGGGTTTAAGACTACGGTTGAAAGCATTATTGCCACAATTTAATATATTTTACATGTGGCAGTCAGACAACTGCGAGTTTAGGACCCAGATTCATCATCATTTTCATTTTGATTGGGGATGGGGATCAAATCAAAATGTAATCAATTATTCATCATAAATTATTATTTTGATACATCCCCCAATGTGTGCTTAATAACATCCAGGGATTTTATATAATTTACAAGCATAACAGAAATGTATTGAAGACAAGCTGATTTTGCATAGCTATATCCAGTAATTTTTATTAACATTGTAATATACATGATTACAATAATGCATGGCATACATAGCTTCATTGATGTAGAAAATACACGTGATGAGACAAAAAGCTCAGTCAGAATTACTGAACAATATACATTTATTACAACGATTTTTGAAACCTATATACTTCTTATTGTTACCACCTTGCCAGGCCTGTTCTCCATGTTCTAGGGGTATTAGTGCTAGTTTAGAAGGCATTTATTTTACTATATTGACCTGAGCAATATGTGACATCATAGTGGCGGACTAAAATGGATATTTCAGCCCGGCAATGTTCCCCGGTTCAGTGCATATAATTTTCGTTCAGTTGCACTCCGCTCTTGCTATTTCAGCCCTGGGCATAAATGATGGTAATAATACTTATAATATCATTTCTGCAGGCAAAATAATAAAACATTGCACCTTATTCCTTAGGCCCTTGGCCCAATATTTCACTATATTGCCCTTTGAAATGACGTTATCGTACTATTAACACATTGTAATATCCATGATTGTAGTGATGAATTACTTGAGATAACTATAGCTTCAATACACATGTCACAAAAAGCTAAATCGGAATTACTGAACCAATATCATTTTCAATCCCTAGAAAGTTGGTGCTGACCTAGTATTTACATGTTGTGAATCTCTAATTGCCAAAATAACATTAATAACAATTGGTATAACATTTTTATCTGAATAATAATTCTTATTTCTAATTTCATGTTTGATTATCTCTATAATCAGTTTTAGCAAAAAATGACATTGTTCATTTGAAAGTTCTTGATACTCCAGTTATGAGTCGGTTTGACATAAGCCACTGCATTATTCTGTTGCCTCCACTTTGCATTTTTGTGATGTAAGAATAGTCAAAATTTTCTGAGATTGAATTATGTTAAAATAAATAAATAATACTAAAAATGTACATTTTATTTTACGTTTGTTTATACAAGACCTGCATTTGTAGCTTGGGCAAGTTAGTCCAAAAGAGATAACAAACTATTTTAACTTTACTTGTTATTCCCATGGCAACGTGAGTGGGTGTGTTACATTAGTCTCTACTTTTAATTATTCGAACAAAGTTTGCTACTTCTGTGATAAGCCTACAAGCAGTCTCAACATTATGGTTAAACACCCCTAAGACTAAGATGTCCTTCACTAGAAATGCTGTAAAACCTCCACAGTGGCCATCAGTCGCAAACAGCTCACGGTTTTCTATCACTTTTCCTGGCATATACACTTTACCAATGCCAAGGTCGATGCCATCTGGGTTGAGTGCCATTGTATCGCCTTGTATTAGCTTCGCCAGGGCCTTTCGGGTAGATCTAGAAGGCCTGAATGTGATTGGTTGGTTTGCTCTGACATTAAAATTACTGGCATTTATCACAATGGCATGTGATAGTATTCCATTTCGCATAAGTTTACGCGTGACAAGTTCTTCAGCAAAGGGATCTGGTTTCTTCTCCTTGGCCCCCTGCAATGTCAACAATCAATATAAATTCAAAGTTTTAGAAATGTTTATTATCATAACCTTTACTTCATTGATCAAACCAAATTTGTGGTCTTACCAAACACCATACAATACAATCCATGTCAATACAATACAATGCAATACATGTACAATATATGCTATACAATATACTACAATAAAAAACAATGTACTTTCATACAAAATATTGCATTACAACATAATATAATACAATAAAATTTAACATGATACAATACTATGCAATGCAATGCAATACAATACAATAGAGTACAATACAATGCAATGTAATGCAATGCAATGAAATACAATACATATAGTATATACACGATTTTTTTATTATTCATCTCGGCTTGGCATGCTCTTGGATTTATATATCCTTTTTTATATAAATATTCAAATAGATAGCTGATGCTTAAACATTAAGCATTTAATAAACAAGAAGAAGAAACAAGAGAGAAAGAGAAAGAGGAGAAGAGAAAGTTGCAGGGTTTGCATATCATGGTGAACATTTCAAGTTAACATGTCTTACTCTTCACCTTGTCTTATACTGTAGAAATTGTAAATAAAATCATATTGTCTGTGATATTATGATTTCTTCAAATGAATTATATTACATTCTCATTCAACTATGTTTGAAAAAAATATTACTTTAAATATTGCTTACCTTTGAGCTTTTAGCTCTAGTTTGGAGTTCTGTTGAAGGCATTTATCAAATTAATCCTCAAAATTCTCACATTTACTACCAATAAATTCTGCTATCTTTTTGCTATTATTTGGAACAGATTATGAGAAGATATAATTAAATAAAATTGAATTATGCAATAATTTTGTAATGTATTATTATTATTTATAAGGGTTATAAGGGTTATTCCCCTTCATTAATCAGGGAAGGCAGCTATTAAATTGCATCTAAACATCTGATGTCATTGAACAGTGTGTTGTTCAAATGAATTCATTTGAAAGGAGGTGCTGGTTTTTAACAACATTTAACATTAACAAGCTAATTAATTGTCCCTACACACCCTGAAGATTTATATTATTGACATATTGGCAGCCTGTGTCATTAAGTTTTTCGGGTAGCGTAGTATAGCATAGTATAGGGACAAGTTTGTGATTTAGATAACCTACCTAATGAACCTCTTCAGTGAAAAGATTAACATGTATACGATGAATACAGTGACCAATCACTTTTAGAATTTATTATTAAATACAAAGAGTGGTCAATAAATTTTGCAAGTGACATCTTTCTGACAATATTTGAAATTATGAAACTAATTTTAAGGTATTCCCTTCAATGAATGTCTTATTCCTTTATCATATGTACTGTAATGGACTGAAACATCAAAAAAATTGAAGGTACAATACACATGTTTTTATCAATATTTTTCATATAACTTTATTTCATTCAGTGTAACAATAAATTAACATTACATTTACAAAAGGAAGATATGCTAACAATTGAAATTAAATTGAATTTGTACATCAGAATTCAGCAACCCAAAATGTATGTGATATGGTGCATTATATACTACTGATTAATACAAGTGTTATTTGTACATCAGAATTTAGCAACACAAAATGTATGATATGGTGCATTATATACTACTGATTAATACAAATTTTATTTGTACATCAGAATTCACCAACACAAAATGTATGATATGGTACATAATATACTACTGATTAATACGAGTGTTATTTGTACATCAGAATTCAGCGACACAAAATGTATGATATGGTACATTATATACTACTGATTAATACGAGTGTTATTTGTACATCAGAATGCAGCAACACAAAATGTATGTGATATGGTGCATTATATACTTCTGATTAATGCAAGTGTTATTTGTACATGAGAATTCAGAAACCCAAAATGTATGATATGGTACATTATATACTACTGATTAATGCGAGTGTTATTTGTACATCAGAATGCAGCAACACAAAATGTATGATATGGTACATTATATACTTCTGATTAATGCAAGTGTTATTTGTACATGAGAATTCAGAAACCCAAAATGTATGATATGGTACATTATATACTACTGATTAATACGAGTGTTATTTGTACATCAGAATGCAGCAACACAAAATGGTTGATATGGTACATTATATACTACTGATTAATGCAAGTGTTATTTGTACATGAGAATTCAGAAACCCAAAATGTATGATATGGTACATTATATACTACTGATTAATGCAAGTGTTATTTGTACATGAGAATTCAGAAACCCAAAATGTATGATATGGTACATTATATACTACTGATTAATACGAGTGTTATTTGTACATCAGAATGCAGCAACACAAAATGTATGATATGGTACATTATATACTACTGATTAATGCAAGTGTTATTTGTACATGAGAATTCAGAAACCCAAAATGTATGATATGGTACATTATATACTACTTATTAATACAAGTGTTATTTGTACATGAGAATTCAGCAACACAAAATGTATGATATGGTACATTTTATACTAGTGATTATTAGATGGCTTTAAAAGGTGAGTTAATGTATTAAAACAGGTGTATTAAGCGGCAGTGTCACATTTCTTCTACGGTAGCCATACAGCGGGCGTAGATTCTAAAAATTATAGAAAATCTTCATCATACTGCTTATATTTTATGCTGCATATTTCTCTCTAATTTTCAGGAAGCTGATGCTGCCGTATGGTTGCCGAAGATTAAATGTGACAGAGGCTTTAGACATAATTTAAATCTATACTATGTCTATGTCTCTATAGTTATCTATGTACTGTACAATCTATTTCTGTTACAATAAAGATCATTTTACATTCCAGGATATCCATGGTGTTTATTCAGCTAGATCTTTTGTTGGCTGGTATAATGGACTGCCTGAGAATACACAGGTAATGCTTTAAGTATGTACTTTATGCATTCTGACACTTCAACCATCTCTGCCTTGCTAAGAATTCACTACATAACAGTAAAACCTATCTGAACACCCCTCTTGTCAAAACTTTATGTGAACACATATTTCCAATCTGCAAATTTGAACACTTTTGGCCAATCCAAGTGTTCTCTTTAGACAGGTTTTACTGTATCCAAGTCTAATAGAAAGTTGTAATCTCTCACAATGTACTCCATGTATAGTACTATATACAATTATTGACCTCTCCAGAGGTTTACTGTCAAAATTATATACCGAGACTGTAAACCGAGACCGTAGGTCGAGGTTTACAGTCGAGGGATATAATTTTGACAGTAAACCGAATGGAGAGGTCTATAATCGTTTTGTTAGTCCGAAGAATATCTTAGATTTTTCTGATTTGGGTGGTTTTACCTTTTCCTGACTTCTGCAGTTCCACAACCATCGCTTTGAAAACATCGTTTGATGCCTTGAATTCAGACTTGGTAATGTCCATCTTAAGTGTCTCTCTGATGTATCGTGCCACTCCCCATTTAAGAAGCTGAAATGATTTCAACTTATAAAGTCCACTGTCTTTTTTTCTAATACCAACGTAAAACTTTTTCAAAAAATTATCTGCATCTGCCACGGCAGTAAGTTCACTCAATGGAGTCAAATTACTCTCCTGGGTGAAGTCTACTAAAAGCTTTGTACAAAGTTTTAGATTTTTCTTCGTATTTTGACTGTCTTTACTCTCTAAGAGACTAATACTATCCTCATCTTCAACATTTTTGAAACGGCTAGTGCTAGCGGCGGCCATTTTATCGTCTGATAATGACGTCATTTTAGTGGAATGCTGGGAATATTATTCACCGGCAATGCATTGCGCGGTGTACAGTTAAAATTATTCACCACTCGTTGACCAATCAAAATCGAGTATTTCAACTGAGGTACTAACAATGTAAATTGTTGCTACATTGAGCTGTTTCAATTTGAGATTAAAAAACTTATTGAGCAAAGGCAATTAACCATTGAATGTAAAGCGCACATATAAAGATACTACATGTTTTGGTTGCCACTTTTACCTAGTATGAATTCTATAATGTACGTTAAGAGAATATTTATGCATAAATGTTTTGGAACAAACATCACATGTGAAGTTCTTTTCTCCATTTTGAATTCTATAATGTTTGTTATGATTTGACTTTCTTGTAAATGTTTTAGAACAAGCATCACATTTAAAGTTCGTTTCTCCAGTTTGAATTCTACAATGTTTGTTAAGATTCAACTTTATTGGAAATGTTTTTAGAACAAACATCTCATTTAAAGTTCTTTTCTCCAGTATGAATTCTATGATGTACCTTAAGACTGAACTTATGTGTAAATATTTTAGAACAAACATCACATTTGAAATTCTTTTCTCCAGTATGAATTCTATAATGTCTGTTAAGATTTGACTTTATTGAAAATGTTTTTGAACAAACATCACATTTGAAATTCTTTTCTCCAGTATGAATTCTATAATGATTGTTAAGATTTGACTTTATTGAAAATGTTTTGGAACAAACATCACATTTGAAATTCTTTTCTCCAGTATGAATTCTAAAATGTCTGTTAAGATCTGACTTTGTTGAAAATGCTTTAGAACAAACTTCACATTTGAAATTCTTTTCTCCAGTATGAAGTCTATGATGTACCTCAAGACTGAACTTATGTGTAAATATTTTAGAACAAACATCACATTTGAAATTCTTTTCTCCAGTATGAATTATTATGTCACCACCAAAAGTGGTGACATATTGTTATGGTCTCCGTTTTTTTTGCGACGGCGTCCGGCGGTTGGTGGTTGGCGGTTGGCGTCCGGCGGTTGGCGTCTGTAACAATTTCTTACAACTTCCTATAACTTAACAAATACTGTTTAGACTGACTTCAATTTTTTTCTAAATCATCTACATGTTCTCAGAAGTTCAAATCTGACTTTAGATTTGACATTTGACCTTCGATGACCTTCTCAAGGTCAAAAAGGTCTTTTTTCAACTTGCTTCACATTGACTAATTTTTTTTTCAAAATCATCTACATGTTCTCAGAAATTCAAATCTGACTTAAGATTTGAGATTTGACCTTCAAATCTGACTTTAGATTTGACATTTGACCTTCAATGACCTTCTCAAGGTCAAAAAAGGTCAAAAAGGTCTACAATTTCTTACAACTTCCTATAACTTAACAAATACTGTTTAGACTGACTTCAATTTTTTTCTAAATCATCTACATGTTCTCAGAAGTTCAAATCTGACTTTAGATTTGACATTTGACCTTCGATGACCTTCTCAAGGTCAAAAAGGTCTTTTTTCAACTTGCTTCACATTGACTAATTTTTTTTTCAAAATCATCTACATGTTCTCAGAAATTCAAATCTGACTTAAGATTTGAGATTTGACCTTCAAATCTGACTTTAGATTTGACATTTGACCTTCAATGACCTTCTCAAGGTCAAAAAAGGTCAAAAAGGTCTGTTTTCAACTTGCTTCAAATTGACTAAATTTTTTTTTCAAAATCATCTACGTGTTCTCAGAAATTCAAATCTAACTTAAGATTTGACTTAGGATTTGACCTTCAATGACCTTCTCAAGGTCAAAAAAGGTCAAAAAGGTCTGTTTTCAACTTGCTTCGAATTGACTAAAAATTTTTTTCAAAATCATCTACGTGTTCTCAGAAATTCAAATCTGACTTTAGATTTGACTTAAGATTTGACATTTGACCTTCAATGACCTTCTCAAAGTCAAAAAAGGTCAAAAAGGTCTTTTTTCAACTTGCTTCAAATTGACTAAATTTTTTTTTCAAAATCATCTACATGTTCTCAGAAATTCAAATCTGACGTTAGATTTGACATTTGACCTTCAATGACCTTCTCAATGTCAAAAAAGGTCAAAAAGGTCTGTTTTCAACTTGCTTCGAATTGACTAAATTTTTTTTTTAAAATTATCTACGTGTTCTCAGAAATTCAAATCTGACTTAAGATTTGACCTTCAATGACCTTCTCAAGGTCAAAAAAGGTCAAAAAGGTCTGTTTTCAACGTGCTTCAAATTGACTAAAAAAAATTTTCAAAATCATCTACGTGTTCTCAGAAATTCAAATCTGACTTTAGATTTGACTTAAGATTTGACATTTGACCTTCAATGACCTTCTCAAAGTCAAAAAAGGTCAAAAAGGTCTTTTTTCAACTTGCTTCAAATTGACTAAATTTTTTTTTCAAAATCATCTACATGTTCTCAGAAATTCAAATCTGACTTTAGATTTGACATTTGACCTTCAATGACCTTCTCAATGTCAAAAAAGGTCAAAAAGGTATTTTTTCATCTTGCTTCAAATTGACTAAAATTTTTTTCAAAATCATCTACATGTTCTCAGAAATTCAAATATGACTTTAGATTTGACATTTGACCTTCAATGACCTTCTCAAGGTCAAAAAAGGTCATAAAGGTCTTTTTTCAACTTGCTTCGAATTGACTAATTTTTTTTTCAAAATCATCTACATGTTCTCAGAAATTCAAATCTGACTTTAGATTTGACATTTGACCTTTAATGACCTTCTCAAGGTCAAAAAGGTCTGTTTTCAACTTGCTTCAAATTGACTAAAAAAAATTTCAAAATCATTTACGTGTTCTCAGAAATTCAAATCTGACTTTAGATTTGACTTAAAATTTGACATTTGACCTTCAATGACCTTCTCAAAGTCAAAAAAGGTCAAAAAGGTATTTTTTCAACTTGCTTCAAATTGACTAAATTTTTTTTTCAAAATCATCTACATGTTCTCAGAAATTCAAATCTGACTTTAGATTTGACATTTGACCTTCAATGACCTTCTCAATGTCAAAAAAGGTCAAAAAGGTATTTTTTCATCTTGCTTCAAATTGACTAAATTTTTTTTCAAAATCATCTAGATGTTCTCAGAAATTCAAATATGACTTAAGATTTGACATTTGACCTTCAATGACCTTCTCAAGGTCAAAAAAGGTCAAAAAGGTCTTTTTTCAACTTGCTTCAAATTGACTAATTTTTTTTTCAAAATCATCTACATGTTCTCAGAAATTCAAATCTGACTTTAGATTTGACATTTGACCTTTAATGACCTTCTCAAGGTCAAAAAAGGTCAAAAAGGTCTGTTTTCAACTTGCTTCAAATTGACCAAATTTTTTTTTTTTCAAAATCATCTACATCTTTTCAGAAGTTCAAATTTGACTTTACAAGTTCTCAGAAATTCAAATCTGACTTAAGTTTGAACTCATAATATTGTGAGCAACTAGGTGGTGACATTTTGTCATGTTAATGCCTTGTATAATGTCTGTTAAGATTTGACTTTATTGAAAATGTTTTTGAACAAACATCACATTTGAAATTCTTTTCTCCAGTATGAATTCTATAATGTCTGTTAAGATTAGACTTTTGTGTAAATGTTTTAGAACAAACATCACATTTAAAGTTCTTTTCTCTAGCATGAATTCTATAATGTTTGGTAAGATTTGACTTTCTTGAAAATGTTTTAGAACAAACATTACATTTAAAAGTCTTTTCTCCAGTATGAATTTTATAATGTTCCACTAGTTTAGACTTATATTTGCACACTATATGGCATATATCACAAATATGTTTCCCTTGGTGGCCATTTACCAGTCTCTGAAAACCACTTGTAAAAATGTTGTCACTAGCCGTATCATTATTCATCAAAGAAGCATAACTGTTTGTCATACTTTTGGCAGTTTTTATCCGATTAAGATTAATTATCACACCATCAACATCATTTATCACACCATCAGTGTTATTTATCATAGTTTTACCACCAGTTTTACATCACATCATCAGCATCTTTTACTATATCAACATCATTCATGACCTTGCTTCCAAAGTCCATTATGTTTTCCATAGTAAAGGTAAATTCAGCATTAGTTCCCTGGTCTCGTGGTTACCTCAATATATTAAAAAGATACTATTCCTGAATAAAGTATATGAATTTATTCAATGATGATGAACCTTCTACCAATCTCAGACAGTTCTTGATGTATCCTTTATGTATGGTATGGAATTCATACAAGACTCTTATGTCACACTATCATTTGGTTTATTGTCCAAAGAATCATTCTCTTTCAGTCCAAAATAGCGTGTGTATGTCTAAAATCATCAAATATTAACACTAGCACCTCTTAAAAATGTACCACTTTTTATTATGTCTTACTCTGTTTTCAGCAGTATCGTTATAATATACATGTATAGTATCCTAGTATTAAGCATGTTGTTTTGCTTATCACTGTCTTAAATTGTATGTAAATTAACTGTAACTAGGAGGCCCATGGCCTTAAAAGTTTTGAAATAAATATATATGTATCCTAGTACTCCTGGTGTTATTTGAAGCGCTTGTTTGGTTCTTGTATTATTTTTTGCAAAATGCTATGGCTTCTCCCACACACATAACCATGCGTATATGAGCTCTGCTATACAGATAAGACATTTGAACAGCTGTTATGGTTACTCTAGTTAGGCTATATTTACTCTACTTTAAAGGCCAGTTTTAAAGTGCTAGCAACTCCCATTAAAATATCAGGTTACGTCCACACTTTAACATGGTACAGATAGACAGGATTAGTTCATTTCTTCATCCTAGGTTTAATTAACAGCATTGCTTAATACTGTAATAAATTGCCGGGCCCTCTCTCTGAACAAATACTTGGTAGCGTGGCTAGGGCCGGGAATATTACGACACTAAATTTTGACTTGGTCTTTAATTGAGTTAATCAAATTATTTGCTTGGTCATTAAGGAAAATTTGGAATAATATAATACTGGAAGGTGCTGACACCTTTAAATGACAACTGGACTGAATAGTGCAAACTGTGGGAGGGGGTGATTGCAATGTATAATGATATAAATGGAATCTTCAACGCAACTTGCACCTAAGTATTCTCAACAGATCGCAATACTGAGCTTGATATGACCCCTTAAATATATGAAGATGAAACAATCTGTTGAAAATAAACTTAAATCAAATTGACCACTTTATGCAAAACAAAAGACAAAGAAATTAAGATTATATAATTTTAATAATGATATAAATCTGAGTATATAGAATATATGTATAAAATGGTATAATTACAAAGGAATATTTACATAATCAGAGTCACGAAGTTCGAACGAATAAGAAACTGTTATCTCTCAACAGGAACGATCTTATTATTGAACTTACTCTTGATTAAGAATCTCACCAATCTCACTAACTATCTCATTCCCAACATTTAACTCCACTTACATGACAAAAGTTCTCTGCACTACATATGTGCATGACCTGAACTAATCAACACTTCAATGACCATGAGCACCTTAAAATAATGGAACACTCAAACAACCTTATCTAGAGATGTTTTTCTACAGCTATGTCAGGCAAAATCTTAGATATAGTTCTTCAGATATGTCAGGCAAAATCTCGATATAGCTGTACAGCTATGTCAGGCAAAATCTTAAGATATAGTTGTACAGCTATTTCAGGCAAAATCTTAGATATAGTTCTATAGCTATGTCAGGCAAAATCTCAGATATAGTTCTACAGCTATTTCAGGCAAAATCTTAGATATAGTTCTATAGCTATGTCAGGCAAAATCTCAGATATAGTTCTACAGCTCTGTCAGGCAAAATTTTAGATATAGTTCTACAGCTACAGCTACACTTTTGGCCAGTCCAAGTGTTCTCTTTAGACAGGTTTTACTGTATCCAAGTCTAATAGAAAGTTGTAATCTCTCACAATGTACTCCATGCAATACTATGTAAATTGTTGCCATATTGAGCTGTTTCAATTTGAGAAATCAACTTATTGAGCAAAGGCAATTAACCATTGAATGTAAAGGGCATATACAAAGTTAATACATGTTTTGGTTGCCACTTTTACCTGGTATGAATTCTATAATGTACATTAAGAGAATATTTATGCATAAATGTTTTAGAACAAACATCAGATGTATAGTTCTTTTCTCCCTTTTGAATTCTATAATTTTTGTTATGATTCGACTTCCTTGTAAATGTTTTAGAACTAGCATCACATTTAAAGTTCTTTTCTCAAGTATGAATTCTACAATGTTTGTTAAATTCCACTTTATTGGAAATGTTTTAGAACAAATATCTCATTTACAGTTATTTTCTCCAGTATAAATTCTATAATGTTTGTTAAGATATGACTTTCTTGTAAATGTTTTGGAGCAAACATCACATTTGAAATTCTTTCCTCCAGTATGGATCCCATAATGTTCATTGAGAACTGACTTTATTGAAAATGCTTTCGAACAAACATCACACTTAAAGTTCTTTTCTCCAGTATGAATTCTATGATGTAAGTAAAGAGTATACTTTTGTGCAAATGCTTTCGAACAAACATCACATTTAAAGTTCTTTTCTCCAGTATGAATTTTATAATGTTTGTTAAGACCTGACTTACTTGTAAATGTTTTTGAACAAATATCACATTTGAAATTCTTTTCTCCAGTATGAATTCTATAATGTGTGTTAAGATATGACTTTGTTGTAAAAGTTTTGGAACAAACATCACATTTGGAATTCTTTTCTCCAGTATGAATTCTATAATGTCTGTTAAGATTTGACTTTATTGAAAATGTTTTAGAACAAACATCACATTTGAAATTTTTTTCTCCAGTATGAATTTTATAATGTCTGTCAAGACATGGCTTATTTGTAAATGTTTTTGAACAAACATCACATTTGAAATTCTTTTCTCCAGTATGAATTCTATAATGTTTGTTGAGATTTGACTTTATCGAAAAAGTTTTGGAACAAACATCACATTTGAAATTCTTTTCTCCAGTATGAATTCGAAAATGTCTGTTAAGATCTGACCTTGTTGAAAATGCTTTAGAACAAACTTCACATTTGAAATTCTTTTCTCCAGTATGAATTCTATGATGTATGTTAAGAGTAGACTTTTGTGCAAACATTTTAGAACAAACATCACATTTAAAGTTCTTTTCTCTAGTATGAATTATATAATGTTTGTTAAGATTTGACTTTATTGAACATGTTTTAGAACAAATATCGCATTTAAAATTCTTTTCTCCAGTATGAATTCTATGATGTATGTTAAGAGTAGACTTTTGTGCAAAAGTTTTAGAACAAACATCACATTTAAAGTTCTTTTCTCTAGTATGAATTCTATAATGTTTGTTAAGATTTGACTTTATTGAACATGTTTTAGAACAAACATCACATTTAAAATTCTTTTCTCCAGTATGAATGCTTGTAAATGTTTTACTAGAAGTAGCATCATTCATCAAAGAAGCAGAACTATTTGTTAAACTTTTGGCAGTTTTTATCCCATCAAGATTAATTATCACACCATCAACATCATTTATCACACCATCAACATCATTGATCACACCATCAACACCATTTATCACACCATCAGCGTTATTTATCATAGTTTTACCATAAGTTATCACATCATCAGCATCTTTTAGTATATCACCATCATTGCTACCAAAGTCCATTATGTTTTCCATAGTAAAGGTGAATTCAGCATTAGTTCCCTGGTCTTGTGTTTACCTCAATATATTAAATAGATACTATTCCTGAATAAAGTATATGAATTTATTCAATGATGGTGAATCTTCTACCAATCTCAGATAGTTCTTGATGTATCCTTTATGTATGGTATGGAATTCATACAAGACTCTTATGTCACACTATCATTTGGTTTCTTGTCCAAAGAATCATTCTCTTTCAGTCCAAAATAGCATGTGTATGTCTAAAATCATCAAATATTAACACTAGCACCTCATAAAAATGTACCACTTTTTATTATGTCTTCCTCTGTTTTCAGCAGTATCGTTATAATATACATGTATAGTATCCTAGTATTAAGCAAGTTTTGCTTATCATTGTCTTAAATTGTATGTAGATTAACTGTAACTAGGAGGCCTGTGGCCTTAAAAGTTTTGAAATAAATATATATGTATCTTAGTACTCCTGGTGTTATTTGAAGCACTTGTTTGGTCCTTGTATTATTTGCATAATGCTATGGCTTCTCCCACACACTTAACTATGCAATTATAAGTTTATCTGCTACACAGATAAGACATTTGAACAGCTGTTATGGTTACTCTAGTTACTATATTTACTCTTTAAGATAAGCAGGTTGTATCAAGTCTAGTTTGTTTATTTGGCATTTATGCACCTTATACAGCAATATGTGTTTGATAGCTTATTGGATAAGCTAATGTTCCTGGCCAAAAAGAAAACATAATTTTCACCCAGATTTCAGTCTACCAATTCATGTTATGCCAAACTAGTCCATCTAATCTTCCTTATCAGTCTCAATACAATTTTTATCAGAAATATAAAGAACAAAAATGTACCACCATGACTGTACTAGACATGACTTTATCGTATGGTCTGTAAAATGAAGCCCTCTGATTGGTCAGTTCTTGTGCTGTACCAATCTGTACTGCTACTGAGATTGTCCCTGTTGATCATCTCCGTCGAAATACAGAAAATATTGGTACGGAGGGGACAATCTGAGTAGCAATGACAGAGGATCACACAATAAAAACGTTATTGAATGATTTGAAGTGCAATACAGGATATATTCTGTCTCAATATTCTGTATTGGCACTCGACTTCATCTCGTACTAGTATGGAATTTCTCGAGCAGAATATATCCTGTATTGCACTTCAAATTATACAATAACTTATATTCTAGAACATGTGCAGGGGCTTTGCCTCCTTTCAGTCAGGAGGGGTGCGATTGCCAAAAATATTTCAGTTTTTAGTCAGGGGCATTTTTAGATTGTCGTATAGACAAGCCAAAAAATTAAAATTTATCTTGAATTTTACAAAAATTGATGCAACTTTTTATTTGTAATGGGGGGGGGGGGTGGCTACGCCTATGATGTATCTATATGGAATTGTTGCTTTGAATATTATTCTGATTGCAACAAAGGAACTTGCAAATATAATTTTATAGCTGAATTTTATACTATCTTACATACAATTTTCAATGATCTGAACAATGTTTATATATACAGTATTGTTTTCCACTTTTATTTAGGCTATGGCAGAAAAGGAACATCAAAACAGCATTTAATCCAAGAGAGAGATCGAAAATATGTAATCACTCAAATACTTGTCAGTGGATTTGGATCAAGTTTTTTTATCCTGATGCCAAATAATCAATGAATAACTATGAATAATAATAATATATCACTTATATGAATCAAAGAGTACAAGTACAATAATGAATATTTATTTTATTATAATTTACATGTAATATTACAATTATAAGCAAAACATGCACTGATAAATCTCTTTAGACTGTTACAGTTGTATGAATAAAGTATTGGTGGTGTTGATGGTCTATCATCCATCATTTTTTGCATCGAATTACTGCCACCCTTTGGCATTTAAGTGGAATATGGGGCATGCATTCTAAAACATTTTTCTCATTCCCACTGCAGTCAAACATAATGAAAGATGGGTTGGCTTCACTCAGAAGAGAAAGGTCCTCTATAAACTGAACTCTTTTGTAAGGTTGTGAGTTTTGTCGACAGATTACTTTTGCAGTTGGTTGGTTACTTATGCGCCATCGATCCATATTATCTCCACAGATGTATCTACGTTTCAGTTTTCCTGGCATGTAGAATGTCTCCTCATATTTTATTTTGTTAATTCGTATTTTTATAGTTTCTATCCTCAGATCACAGAATACAATAATTCTCTTAAATCCATCGCAGTAGACATCAACTCCATGGTTGTAGCTACATTTTGATAGATTTTCCTCATCACCGTTACATTTAACATGACTCATAACTATATCATCATTTGCGTTGTTTTCTGTATCAAATATGCCATATTTATCTTCTCCAATGACATAATCACCTACAAGAATTAGGTTACCATTAAAGATTAAGAATGCATTGCATTTACAAAAAAGGATTTTTTCTTCAATTATTTCTCCTTACTTGTTGAGTCATGTGGAGTGTATCCCCTGCATGCAACTTTTGTTTCATTGATTCCCCATCCATGTGCACAGACTGCACCACGTTTACTGTTAAAATGGATCTCCACCTGACCATAACCTTTTGATACCAGTTCTGGTCTTGCGGTAAAGTTGGTTGGTAGACTCTCTAAAAGTAGAGGATCAATTCTTTAGCTTTTGTTTTTCATATTCTTGTGTATCTCCCATTCACCTGGTGCACAGCCAACAGCAAAACAAAACTGAACTGTTCCCAGGATTTGTAGAACATTTATCTTACAATGCTACAGCAGGGCTGTCAACTTGGGACCATCTAACATAATTTTGGACACCTAAAAAAAACGATTTTTAAAAATATCAACAAGATGTGTGATTTGCGTGATATTTGATCATACACGCTAAATTTATGCATGATTTCTATTTTTCCAGCAAATGCGTAACAATCACGCCTAATGCGTGAGGGTTGACAGGGCAGCTACAGATATGTCAGGCAAAATCTTAGATAAAGTTCTACAGCTATGTCAAGCAAAATCTAGAGATATTTTTCTACAGCTATGTCAGGCAAAATGTTAGATATAGTTCCAACAGCTATGTCAGGCAAAATCTTAGATAAAGTTCTACAGCTATGTCAGACAAAATGTTGGATATAGTTCTACACTTATGTCAGGCAAAATCTTAGATATAGTTCTACATCTATGTCAGGCAAAATTTTAGATATAGTTCTACAGCTATGTCAGACAAAATGTTGGATATAGTTCTACAGTTATGTCAGGCAAAATCTTAGATATAGTTCTACAGCTCTGTCAGACAAAATGTTGGATATAGATCTACAGTTATGTCAGGCAAAATCTTAGATATAGTTCTACATCTATGTCAGGCAAAATTTTAGATATAGTTCTACAGTTATGTCAGACATATGCACAAGTTAAATACATTACCATGGTTGTGCCAGAATAAAACAATTAGTATAATATGAACTTAGGACACCTTTTTAATGCTAAAACTAAAATAAAAGATTAACAACCTCTTTTTACCTTAAAATGTTTACCTGGCATATTACTGTGACAAAAGACAGCTGGATAGTCATAGTCGTACTTATGCCATCGATAACATGAACTGCTTGTATCAATGATGCAGTCCATTCCTCCATCAAACCTCTCCTCACATCTCAATTTATGGGTAATATAGTTATCAAATGAGTAATTGGATCTGAAGTGATACACAGAGGTTGTTGTGTATTCAGGTGGGAAACCCAACAGTCTGCATATAACCCTTGCTTCTTGGATTCTCCATTGCCCATTGCATACCCATAGTCTGCATCTACACTCTTTTGTTTTAGGTGATATATCATAGAGGCTCATTTCTGGAATACCTGTAAATAATGTTGTCGTGTCAAATACTTGCTTTACCTAATGCTGTAAAATACATCTTCGAATTTCAAGGTGGTTGAAGGTGGGGTACTAATAACTGAAACCTTGTGAAGCAAGATGGTCAAATAAGAATTATTGTGAAATTATAATATGAACTGTTCCTCAGTATAATGTACCTTTGTATTGTCCCTCATTTTCTAGACTTATATTCAAGTGCCTCATATCACAAGTTAAAATAATGGTATCACATCGATGATGCCAATATGGTATTTTAGCTCTTTCATCCCATGAGTCGTATGTGCAATCTTTAAGATGACCTTCATCCCCCATGCATTGCAGATCAGTCTCTACGTTTATACCCCCTGGATGAAATTGTAACTTCTTTAGAATGAAACTTGATTCATCATATCCCAACATTCTACAGACGACTCTCGTGACATTGTAGTGCCATACGTTTTCTCGATACCTATAAGTACACACAGGAAGCCAACGACTTTCATTTTGAGCTCGAGCAAGTAGTCGTCCCTGATGCCCACCTTCTAGACGAAATTGGGAATGTTCAAGAATAGCTACAATGAATTAATGGTCGGTTTAAACCAATTTTGAATTACACATGCCAATTAATCTGTTTGCAGAAATCTGTTTTTGAAAGTTTTTTCTTAGTCTGGTAATAATTTTCATCAACAGGCAACTCTTTTACTCATTTGTTCACAAAGGTTAGGAAAATCAAACTTACGATTTGGCCCTTCTGGACATTGAATTTCTACAAGTTTACGAAGGTATTGTCCTTTATATACATCATGTCTCCAATTAGACGATGAAAATACCTGGCATTGTTCAAGTTCTGTCTCTGTTCCTTCACAGGAAAACGCCTTTGGAAATGCTCCACCATAATGTGTGAAATAAATTTCCTGTTTTACCTCAGTAAAACGTAATCTTGTATATCTTGGATCACCTCCTTTCCTTTGGCATACCAATTTTGCCATATGTTTGTCTGCCATAGATACTGGTTGCCATTTGTTTTCAATTTTAACCTCAAAAACACCAACCTTCAGTGTGCTGTTTAAAGTATTGAATCTAATTGGAATTTTGTGACATGTTAAACTGAGGAGTTTGCCTGGACAAAGTGATGGATACATTTTTCTCACTGGCTCTTTATGTTGACAATCCTTTATGTTGCTTTCATTTCCAAAGCATTGGACCTGATGAAACCAAACTGGTGTCTTTCTTGACCATCCATGATCTTTTGATGTTTGGATAATCTGTCCATCCTTGCTATCTTCTCCCAATTGTCTACATAACACTTTGCCAATGTGTTGAAGATTTGACGAGGAAAGGCAAATATAACCCCATATTCCTTCATGTTGAACTTGTATTCCATTCGCTGCATCAAGCTTTATCTCATCATGTGATTCATGCTTGTGGCATATTGCAATTGCATCATGTCTTTTCTAAAGCCAATGTTAACATACAATAATACATCATATGGGAAAAATTGGCAATATTCTATAAAGCTGTGTATATATTATACATACCAGGCCCGTAAGACACTTTTCTCCAAGGGGGGTGCGGTTTTTAGCAATTACTAAAGAGAATATAAAATTTTTTTGCCGCGTAAATCAAATCGCGTAAGACAGAGGGGGGGGGGGTCAGTTACTCCCTATATTGGTTTGGAATTAACAAAATGCAACTTACAAACGTTCCAATTGTTTTGTGGGGGGGGGGTGTGAGGACTGGTCCACTCCCCCTAGAAAATTTTACTGTTTTGAGATGCTATTTGGTGCTTTCTGGGCACTTTCAAAGTGTAAGTTTCTAAGTAGTACGCCACCACCATGGGAATAAGAGTTGGGTGAATAAAAAAACGAGCATTCAGGGGTGTCTGGGGGTTCTCCCCCAGGAAAATTTTGAAATTTGGTTGTATTTGGAGCGAATTTGCAACCATCTGGTACGCCTGTGCGTTATGAGTCAATAAGAAAAATGTGAATTTTTTTCAAATTCTTTTGGGGGGTGTCAAAGAGGATGAGAGGGTGAAGTGGGGTGGGGTGCCAGTAGGGGAGCAAGGGGTTGTCTCCCAGAAACATTTACCATATCAAGGTGCTATTTGATGATGTCTGGTCACTTAAAAAATGTCTGAGACAATACATGAAATTCAGAATATTTTCTTTTGTTTTGTGGGGGATGTAAGGGGTGGCTAACTCTCCTAGAAAATTTTACAATTTAAAGATGATATTTGGTGCTTCTGGGCACTTTTAAAGTGTATTAGTCAATAAAAACATTGAAAAACAATCACAATTTTTTTCAAATTTTGGGGGTGTCAAAGGGGGGGGGGGGTGGAGGGGTGCCAGAGGGGGAGCAAGTGTTTGTCCCCCATATCAAAATTTACAATATCAAGGTGCTATTCGATGAAGTTTGGGCACTTTAAATGTGTCTGTGCCTTCACAATTTTACGACGCTATTTGGTGCTTTCTGGGCACTTTCAAAGTGTATGAGTCAATTAAAGAATTTGAGAAAATCACAATTTTTTTTTTGGGGGGGGTCAAGGGGGGGGGCGCCAGGGGGGGAGGGGGTTATGCAAGTGCAAGATGCAAGAGGGGGAGCAAGTCCCCCAGAAACACTAACTACAGTGTATATTAAGGAGCTATTTGATGATGTCTGGGCACTTTAAAAGTGTCTGAGACAAAACACTAAAATAAATTTAGAACTTTTCCATTGTTTTGTGGGGGGGGGGGGGGGGGTGTGAGGGGTGGCCAATACCCCTAGAAAATTTTACAATTTTAAGATGCTTTTTTGTGCTTTCTGGGTACTTTCAAAGTGTATGAGTCAATGAAAAAAAATTACAAAAAAAATATTTTTTTTCAAAATTTTTTTTCAAATTTATTTTGGGGGGTGACAAAGGGGGGTGCGGTCGCACCCATCGCACCCCCCCCATCTGACGGCCCTGCATACAATGCAAATACACTGAGATCTCATGAATCTCAATAGATAAATATACATGTACATAAATCAAAAGAAACCAAAATGCTGTATCTAATAGTATACATATTTTGTGTAAATAAATACTTATTCATTCAGTATTGGAATTCACCGAATTATACCTGTAGATGACTACAACATTTTTACAATATTTCCATTGGACATAACACAGTATTTTGTAAATACTATACCTCACATTCTTCAATTTCTCCCCATGGAGTATGTGTGCATTGTCCTAAAAGTGTCTCATTCTATTGGACATAACACAGTATTTTGTAAATACTATACCTCGCATTCTTCAATTTCTCCCCATGGAGTATGTGTGCATTGTCCTAAAAGTGTCTCATTCTATTGGACATAACACAGTATTTTGTAAATACTATACCTCGCATTCTTCAATTTCTCCCCATTGGGTACGTGTGCATTGTCCTAAAAGTGTCTCATTCTATTTGACATAACACAGTATTTTGTAAATACTATACCTCACATTCTTTAGTTCTTCCCCATGGAGTATGTGTGCATTGTCCTAAAATGTTTCATTCAATTGGACATAACACAGTATTTTGTAAATACTATACCTCACATTCTTTAGTTCTTCCCCATGGAGTATGTGTGCATTGTCCTAAAGTGTCTCATTCAATTGGACATAACACAGTATTTTGTAAATACTATACCTCACATTCTTTAGTTCTTCCCCATGGAGTATGTGTGCATTGTCCTAAAGTGTCTCATTCAATTGGACATAACACAGTATTTTGTAAATACTATCCCTCACATTCTTCAATTTCTCCCCATGGAGTATGTGTGCATTGTCCTAAAATGTTTCATTATATTGGACATAACACAGTATTTTGTAAATACTATACCTCACATTCTTCAATTTCTCCCCATGGGGTATGTGTGCATTGTCCTAGATATGTCTCATTCTATTGGACATAACACAGTATTTTGTAAATACTATACCTCACATTCTTCAATTTCTCCCCATGGGGTATGTGTGCATTGTCCTAGATATGTCTCATTCTATTGGACATAACCCAGTATTTTGTTAATACTATACCTCACATTCTTCAATTCCTCCCCATGGAGTATGTGTGCATTGTCCTAAAATGTCTCATTCTATTGGACATAACACAGTATTTTGTAAATACATTACCTCACATTCTTCAATTCCTCCCCATGGAGTATGTGTGCATTGTCCTAAAAGTGTCTCATTCTATTGGACATAACACAGTATTTTGTAAATACTATACCTCACATTCTTCAATTTCTCCCCATGGAGTATGTGTGCATTGTCCTAAAATGTTTCATTATATTGGACATAACACAGTATTTTGTAAAAACTATACCTCACATTCTTCAATTTCTCCCCATGGAGTATGTGTGCATTGTCCTAAAATGTTTCATTCTATTGGACATAACATAGTATTTTGTAAATACTATACCTCACATTCTTCAATTTCTCCCCATGGAGTATGTGTGCATTGTCCTAAAAATGCCTCATTCTATTGGACATAAGACAGTATTTTGTAAATACTATACCTCACATTCTTCAATTTCTCCCCATGGAGTATGTGTGCCTTGTCCTAAAATGTTTCATTCAATTGGACATAACATAGTATTTTGTAAATACTATACCTCACATTCTTCAATTGCTCCCCATGGAGTATGTGTACATTGTCCTAAAATGTTTCATTCAATTGGACATAACACAGTATTTTGTAAATACTATACCTCACATTCTTCAATTTCCCCCATGGAGTATGTGTGCATTGTCCTAAAAGTGTCTCATTCTATTGGACATAACACAGTATTTTGTAAATACTATACCTCACATTCTTCAATTTCTCCCCATGGAGTATGTGTGCATTGTCCTAAAATGTTTCATTACATTGGACATAACATAGTATTTTGTAAATACTATACCTCACATTCTTCAATTCCTCCCCATGGAGTATGTGTGCATTGTCCTAAAATGTCTCATTCTGTTGGACATAACACAGTATTTTGTAAATACTATACCTCACATTCTTCAATTTCTCCCTATGGAGTATGTGTGCATTGTCCTAAAATGTTTCATTATATTGGACATAACACAGTATTTTGTAAAAACTATACCTCACATTCTTCAATTCCTCCCCATGGAGTATGTGTGCATTGTCCTAAAATGTCTCATTCTGTTGGACATAACACAGTATTTTGTAAATACTATACCTCACATTCTTCGATTTCTCCCCATGGAGTATGTGTGCATTGTCCTAAAAGTGTCTCATTCCATTTGACATAACACAGTATTTTGTAAATACTATACCTCACATTCTTCAATTTCTCCCCATGGAGTATGTGTGCATTGTCCTAAAATGTTTCATTCTATTGGACATAACACAGTATTCTGTAAATACTATACCTCACATTCTTCAATTTCTCCCTATGGAGTATGTGTGCATTGTCCTAAAATGTCTCATTCTATTTGACATAACACAGTATTTTGTAAAAACTATACCTCACATTCTTCAATTCCTCCCCATGGAGTATGTGTGCATTGTCCTAAAAGTGTCTCATTCCATTTGACATAACACAGTATTTTGTAAATACTATACCTCACATTCTTCAATTTCTCCCCATGGAGTATGTGTGCATTGTCCTAAAAGTGTCTCATTCCATTGGACATAACACAGTATTTTGTAAAAACTATACCTCACATTCTTCAATTTCCCCCATGGAGTATGTGTGCATTGTCCTAAAAGTGTCTCATTCTATTGGACATAACACAGTATTTTGTAAATACTATACCTCACATTCTTCAATTTCTCCCCATGGAGTATGTGTGCATTGTCCTAAAAGTGTCTCATTCCATTTGACATAACACAGTATTTTGTAAATACTATACCTCACATTCTTCAATTTCTCCCCATGGAGTATGTGTGCATTGTCCTAAAAGTGTCTCATTCCATTGGACATAACACAGTATTTTGTAAAAACTATACCTCACATTCTTCAATTCCTCCCCATGGAGTATGTGTGCATTGTCCTAGATATGTCTCATTTCCAGTACAGTTGAAGTTAGCAATACCATAATCTCTTTTTCCTTGTCCCCATTCTTTGCTATTCGTTCTATCCTCAATACTTTCTGTATGGAAATAATAATGGAAAATGTCTGTCAAATACAAGTGATTGGAAGTAGGCAGTCTCTTTTGAATTATCAATTATTTTGTAATCAAAGTCCAAAATGTTTCCTAGTAATGTTTCACACCTGATGCATATATAGGAATTTCTGTTTTACTCGCATCATAACCAAGATGTCGGCATACTACTCTGGCGTTTTCTATGGTCCAGCCTTTGTTGCAAATCCTAGCCCAAGGAACCTTTCTTCCAAGGTGACGGTAATATATTTCTACTCTTCCTTTAGCTTTGTCAACAAAGTCTCCAGCCAATTTCACATCATAGTTATCTTGTTTTGGAGGTGACTTGTCTTAAAACATTGTCATTTCAGTCATACTTTTTTCATTGAATCAAATTAATGTCTAAATATAACTTTGTTAATTGGTGATATTACATGTACATGTAAGCCTCTTATATTTAATGTCCCTCCATCTTAATTTTGTGCATATTGCTTTCTGCTGTGAAACAGCAAAGATAATATTTTCACTTACCTATTGATGCAGATATCCCCCAAATGAGATAACTAAGAAGTACCACTTGACTGTAGATGCTTTTAACAATTTGAACCATCTTCACCTTTCAACACTACCTGATGCTATGCATTCATATCTGTGGATAAAATATTATGTGGTTATAACTCATGATAGATCAGCATGTTTTGGATATAAAGCGTGATATGTTGAACATATTTGAAATAAAATGTGACATTTATGTGAAAATGTTGTGGTTCTTTCTTTGGTATTGATACAGCAGTACACTCTCATTTCAACAATTATTGTGAATGCTTGCTCAAATGATGCATTAGACAGTAAAGTATTCTTTATCATTTTATTTCAATTAAGTATTATTATACCATTAAATGAATCGCTAGTTTTAGAATATATTTCATATAAATATTGCTACTAGCAACAATTTACCTATGACACCATAACTCTGGTAAATCATATCTTCTTTGGTGTATCAAAGTTTGGAAGCTAACTGACCTTCATTGCTGTCTTCCTCTTAGAAATGCATCATTGGATATTTATCTCCAGTTGGAACCAGATCAAGACACTAACATTGCTGTTTTGGTAGGTCATTGAAACGTTACTCAATTTTTAGAAATGGCGTCTGCTCCTTAACAAATGCATTATGGGATATTAATTTCCAGTTGGAACCAGATGTAGACACTGATAATGCTGTTTTGGTAGGTCATCGGAATGTATCTTCATTTTTAGAAACTGACGTCTGCTCCTTAACAAATGCATTATGGGATATTCATTTCCAGTTGGAACCACATCTAGACACTGATACTGCTGTTTGGTCATCGGAATGCATCTTCATTATTAGAAACTGATGTCTGCTTTTTAACAAATGCATTATGGGATATTCATTTCCAGTTGGAACCACATCTAGACACTGATACTGCTGTTTTTGTAGGTCATTGGAATGTTACCTCATTTTTAGAAACTGATGTCTGCTTTTTAACAAATGCATTATGGGATATTCATTTCCAGTTGGAACCAGATCTAGACACTGATACTGCTGTTTTGGTAGGGCATGGGAATGTAGCCTTGGATATTGCCAGGATATTGCTCACACCTGTTGATATATTAAAGGTAAGATCTCCATGCATGACATTCATTTTACGGGGTTCTACATTAATAAACAGACAGATTTCATCTAACTTTCATGCTATTTCCATGAAGACCACTCTATATTTTTAATTATTTTCTATTTTATATTATAAGCAATTTTGAATAACAGTAAAACCTTTGTAAGTGGAACACATTGGAACCTCTAAAGAATTCCACTAATACATTTACATAACATTAATTTAAGATCATTTGGTCACTGGACTTTGAAGTGGCCCACTAAGAATGTGTTCCACTTACAGAGGTGTTCCAATTAACAGGTTTTATATATTTATTTTAAATAACCTAAATTCAAACTACAAATACAATACCTTTACATACATACTTTTGGGGAAATCTCTTATCCTATTTTAAAAATTTATTTCCTGCGTTGATGTACTCTTGGATTTGTCACAGAAAACAGATATAACCCAGCATGCGTTAGAGGCATTGTCACGCAGCCGTGTCAGACGTGTGTATACAGTTGGACGGCGAGGCCCTCTACAGGTGGCATTCACTATCAAAGAATTAAGAGAAATGACAAAGATTCCTGACTGTACTCCTGTGATAAACAAAGAAGACATCACACCATTGGAAAGCATAATAAAAGGTACATTTTCACTTTTGGGTCATTCAATAAGTTTATAAGGAGTTGAGAAATGAAATGGGAATAATTTTTTCAAGTGGGACTCTGATATAATTTCATGATATTTTTAATCTCATTCTAACCCTTAGATGAAGGTTAATTTTTTTACCATGTATCAATGAGGTTAGATTTCTAACCCTTGTGTGATGCACAGGGGTTAGATATCTAACCCTTGTGCCCTTGTTCAGGTTAAGGCAGGTTAAATATCTAACCCTTGTGCGTCGCACAGGGGTTAGATATCTAACCCTTATGTGTAACACACAGGGGTTAGATATCTAAAACTGAAGTTAATTTCTACATATAAACACTGAATGTTATTCCATTTTAGGGAATACAGGCTCAAACTGAAGCTAATTTCTTCATGTAAACACTCAATGTTATTCCATTTTAGGGAATACAGGCTCAAACTGAAGTTAATTTCTACATATAAACACTGAATGTTATTCCATTTTAGGGAATACAGTCTCAAACTAGCTAATTTCTTCATGTAAACACTGAATGTTATTCCATTTTAGGGAATACAGGCTCAAACTGTAGCTAATTTCTACATAATGGAAAATGCACTCATTGGCTCACACAGTGAGCCTATGGGATTGACCAGGCGTCCGTCCGTCCGTCCGTCCGTTGGTCCGTCCGTCCGTCCGTCTGTCCGTCCGTCCATCCGTCCGTCAACATTGGCCGCACAAATTAAAACTGCTATTCGGATTGAGTCATATCCACATTCATTTTATGCATATCCATAATGCCTATTTGACCTATCATCGCCATTTCCCAAGTTCGCCCGGTTTCCGAGAAATTGCGGATTTTGACGTCAAAAAGTCAACTTTTCTGTAAATACTAGACACTTTGTTGAAGTGGAACTTTCAAATAACTTTTAGTAGTTGGTGTATATGCAACTCATGTCCTCTGAAGATTTCAAATCTCTTGGAATTACGGTTTTTGGTGTTTACTCTATAAAATTTGAAAAAAAGTAGGACTTCGTCATTTTCAAGAAACTTTCTCATGTATAAAGTCAATGGCAGGTTTTGTGATTGACAAGATTCTTAAAGTTTGCCTTATACTTGATCATTTCCTGCAATAAATTACATCATTAATAGATTTAAGCATTCCCTACATATTTCTCAATATATGTCAGCATCAAATTTTTACCGTTTTTGAAATATTTGACGTCAAAAAACAGTAAAAATAAGTTATTTTTCAACTTGCTTCAATTTGACCAAATTTTAACTCCCGGGATGTAACATTTTGAAACGTTCACAGAATATGTATAGAGAACATATCTACATAATTTTTTTCATTTGTACATCTCTTTACTCGAAAAAATAGTTTGCTAAATTTGAGAAATAAGAACCATTGTTTTATAAAGAGAATTTAATAGATTCACCATTTTTTATCAGTCAATGGTATGGAATCTTAAACTATATCTAATTTTATTAACCCATTATGTTTCTTTTGCACTTCAGATATTCCAAGGCCAAGGAAGAGACTATCTGAGCTTATGATAAAAACTGCAAAGGCTGAAATGACAGACTCATCCAAAGAATGGCATTTGAAGTTCCTACGTAGTCCATTAGAGATCATAGCAGACAATACAAACTCACGTGTTGGAGCCATACGTCTTGGAATCAACAAACTTGAGGTTTGTTCAGGCCTTGATATATTTATTGACTTCGTGGGCGTTCGGTGGGTTCGATCGCACCTTTCACACATAGATAATAAAAAATAGAACCATTGGTTAGAAGAAAAGAGCTTTAAAATGCTTTTTATTTGAAGCTTCTAGCTCAATTTTGAAGGAAGTTGCATCGATTTTTGTAAAATTCAAAACAAATCTTAAGAAAAATCTTTATTTTGGTAGCTTATGCCACAATTGCATCCCGCTGACTGAAAACTGAAATTCTTTTGGCGATTGCACTGGAAGCGATTGACTGAAAGCTGGATATGCCCTTGGACTTAGTATATATCATCCTCCGAACACAGGCCTCTAGAACTCATACATTAAGAAGTAGAAAGAAGGAACATAGTGGATGATGTCTGGACCCCTGTGTTCGAAGGATGAGTATATAGTTCATGGTCACATAGTCAGTCTACGATAGTATCATCAAAATTGCAAGTATACACATAACATATGCACAACTTGTGAAGTATTATTCATGGTTGAGGAATGATTTGAATTATCATTATACTGACAGACAGGTTGAGTCATTACATATTATTTTGATATTGCCATAATCAAAAGATTGATCCTTTGTACTGCCATATACATGAAATGTGCAACACTTGTTATATTACACATTTACAGGGAATTACTGTAGATTTTTATACCACTTACATAGGAGGAATTTAAGTTTTAAACTTTAAATTAAACAATGGTTTCAGGACAGCTAATTAAACAATACACGTAAAACTATAATACAGAGCAAACACCACCTCTTTAAAATTTCCCAAACCAAAATATGTCAAAATCAAGTCCATTTGAGGCCAATAGCAAAACATAATAATGCAGTCAAAGAGTGTAATTTTAATAGTACTATCCAGATTTATTACAGCTTTGTATTTAATTAGAGTTATATGCTCTTGGAAAAAATGTGTTATTTTTTAACTCTTAGGGTCCCTTAGATGAGAAACAAAAATCTATACCCACAGAGGAAGAGGAGTCGTTGCCATGTGGACTGGTGAGTAACCATGGTAACAGGAAGATGTTTTATTACATTATTTTATTATAGAATGATAATAACAGATTAAATGATTGATGAATAAAGATTGGTGTAGTACTTGAGGTCCTACATGTAGACCCTCAAAGAAAAACATCAACTTCATGTGTAGATCTGTTATAAACACTTTTTGCAATTATATCTCTCCCATATTTGCTCATATTTTGAATCTGAAAAATACCCCAAATGTTGAACATTTTTGCTTGGGCCCAGGTGTAAAGCTATATGTTTTTGCTCAGATTTTGATATTACTTTATTTATTTGCTATAGGTGTTACGAAGTATCGGATACAAAAGCATAAGTATAGATGGTGCCATTCCATTTGATACAAAACAAGGGATTATAAAAAATACTGCTGGTCGGGTACATGGTGAAAATGGTAAGATGTAATTTCAAATGTTTCATGCTTCCTATATGATGATTTGTTGAGTTGATTGTAATTTGTATGTCACCACAAGATGTATCATGTTTAAAGTTTCTAAATCAGCTGATACATATTGCACTTTGTAAGTTTCATTGCAGGTTTTAGCTCATAGATCTTAGAGGTTTTCCCTGTTTCTATATAAAGCAAAATGTTTTAAAGAAATTAATATTTTGAATTATATTGGTTATACATGTACTTTGTGATTTCATCTACATTCTTGGTTTGGAGAATGAAGTTCATCAGTCTTCTGCGTGTTATGCCTGCATTGGACAATTTTGATATTTTTGCATATCGTAGATTTATATGTCCTCATTTGAATATCCATAATTTAATTTGGGTGATATTTCTATATTTTTCATAAAAAAATTATGATCTACTGAATGTTATGCTTGCTTCAGACTTTCTTGTAGATTTAAATGTCCTCTTTTGAGTATTCATAATTTAATTTGAGTGTTATTTCTATATTTTTCATGAAAAATTTATTAGCCCAGGAGACTGTTCTCTAAACCGAGACTTGTCCTTTTCATCCTGTCAGACCATTGAACAGTGCTAATTTTATATATTACTGGCTCTATTCCTGCAATATTATTTCTACTTTCTAGCATGAAAGGTTCTCTCTCTGATGATTTTGGTTGACATCACTTCTCCTCATACTTGCGATTTATCCTTGTTGATAATCTGATAATGATGCATGTGCACATGTATATAACTTATTGCCTTCTCTTCGTTAGTGTAATTTAATTAATTCCCAAAATAGGCTGATATCACTTATGTGACTTAAGGAAATACTCCCTTTGGCACACCTGGGATTGTGCCGGGACTATATAAGTGGCTACAATTGTTCAATTCATCAGTCTCTTAGTAGCTCTCCATAGATTCACAATATTCAACATGCAGACCATACTCGCCATTTTCGTAGGATGTGTTGCAGCAGTGGCAATGGCCAGCGATTATGCCACGTAAGTAATTTTCTGTGTTCGACACTGATGTATTTATTTTTTTTAAATTGAAGGCATGAGCACAGATTTATTTCAGTTCATTTTGTGGTAAATGCATAGAGTAGATAAACATTATATTTGTATGACATACACATACATGTTTTTTGTATATTCAGTAATGTGTTATAATGTCCGTTGATCCTAATGTTGCCATCTGTGCTTATTCAGTGGAGTTTTCAATCAGTTCGTGTCATCTTATTTATTAAGTTTCAAAGTAATCATATTATGTCATGAACAAATTCCCCAGCATGATAATCTCATTGTATTTCCAGCAAAGCATATGAGCCCAAATACCCAACTCATGGTTACCAGAGCAATGATGGTTACCAGCAGGAATCTTATGTCGCCCCAAGCTACAACAGCCATGACAGCTACAAAGCCCCAAGCTACAACACTCATGACAGCTACAAAGCCCCGAGTTACAACAGCCATGACAGCTACAAAGCCCCAAGTTACAACAGTTATGAAGCCCCAAGCTACAACACCCATGACAGCTACAAAGTCCCAAGTTACAACAGCCATGACAGCTACAAGGCCCCAAGTTACGACAGCCATGACAGCTACAAAGTCCCAAGCTACGACAGCTACGAGACCAAGAGCTACAGTCACTGCAACAGCTACGGATATGGGTCCTACATGTACAACACATGCAGAAAATGTGCCACCACATACAGCAGCTTCACATGCCCCAAGAGCTACTACCCAGCAGAGACACATGTTGCCCAGCCAAGCAATGGACATGATAGCTACAATACCTACAACAGCTACAACACATACCAGGCCCCTGCCCAGAAGTTCCACTTCAAGCACTCTGATGACACCTGTTTCTGGCAGTGTGATGAGGCTGGAAAAGCCCTTGCCCGTCCCTGCCCTTATGGACTCGTCTTCGATGAATACAAGGGTGTCTGTGTTACCAAGGAATACTAAACTAACTCATTATTTTATTTTATGGACTTTCACTTTGAAATAAATATTTTTAAAAATGTCATGAAAGTTTATTATAAATACATTGCGCTCGACTGCAAATATTTTGTCATCAACTTGAAATGAATAAAATAATGAATTATATAAATATGTATACACTTGTTAATTATTTATAATGGATGTAATTAGAAGTTGTACATAAAGTTTAAGTAGGGATATAGAGGATCTAAGCTATCCATCAGTTCATCCATCCATTCTTCCATAGAGTTGAAACCTTCATATCATTTGTCAGGTTGTCATATTTGATTCATATTTGATATGGTAATCTGAGACACTACTGTCGTCAGTTATATCTAGCTCATGCATCCATTCTTTCCATTCAGATTGACATATATGGTTCATATTTGATATAACAATTTCAGATAATACTATTGTTGGTTATACCTAGCACATGTAGCATGGACTGTCAAAATCAGCACTGATATTTGTATAGGGTGTTGTTTTCCCCCAAATGAAGTTTAAGTAGAGATATAGAGGAACTGTTCATCCATCCATTCTTCCACGGAGTTGATAACCTTTATATACCAGTTGTCAAATAGACATATGGTTCATATTTGATATTAAAATCCAAGACACTAATGTTGGTTGTGTTGCGTAGCAGGAAATGCACAAAATCACCCCTGATTTGAGTTAACATATATTGTCTGAATTCAGTCATTGCTGAACTGTTCTTCTATTTCAGGTTTGTACTGCAGTGGATGGGTCAGAAGGGGACCTACAGGGGTCATACTAACCACAATGACTGATGGGTTTGATGTTGGGAAAGTCATAGTGGAAGATCTGAACTCTGGTGCTATACAAGCTGATCATACACATGTTGGATATGATGGCCTTATGGTTACTCTTAATAAATCAGGTATGTATTATGAAGGGATTGAAGTGGTCAAGAGGCTTCATTTTGGAGTATAAATATGCTTATATCCTGATTTCTTAAAAAAGTACTTTTTTAAGATTTTTAATCACTGCTTTCCAATTCTGAGTCTAGTTTTTGCCATCTTCATCAATTTAAGATTGACAAATTAGATTTAATTTTCATTAAAATAAACTTTATTTTCTCAAAATTAAACAATGGTATATAGGGGAAAATAAGCATTTATTTATATATGTAGTACACTGTATAGTATAAAACTTGTAAATATAGTAGCAATATAGAACTGTACATGTACATGTACTACATTGAGTATGTATGAATAAACACATGGACAAAATAGATATACATATAATCGATTAAAACATATGTAAATAAAATAAAGCTTCATCCGAACATACTCATAAAATGTACATAAAAACAAGCAAATAAAAATAATTATATATACATAAATGTAACTCATGTAGGACAATATATACAAAAACTATATCTTTATGTGTATGATTTGATATTCAGAACACAAGGATAAACATATATAAGAATTTGTAATTCCTGAAAGTCAATCCAGTAAAAAGAAATATCACAAATAAGCACTTTTTGTTATTAAATTCCTAATGGTTAAGTGTAAAGTAAAATGAAACTGTGTAATAGATAAAAAAAAAGAAGAATGGAATGATAATTTGATAACCTGCTGAAAATCCCTCCTTGTGTTTTCTAAAATCAATAGTAGATTATCTGTATAGTCAGTACCCAAGGACTGAAGAGATATCACATTGATCACACCATTTCATGAGTCAATCGCCAAAACTTAATTCCTCATTCTGATTAAGCAAAGTCTGTCTTAACTCATTCTGATACTCATAGCATCTTTCTGTTTCACCTGAAACATCTCAGAGCTGAGAAGATTTGAGATGTCATGGTTTATCATGATGATCTTAACTAACACTTGGGAAAGCTTTCATGGATAGCAGAGGTTGTGGATACCACAATGTTAACTTCTGATTCTATATGATGAGTATCAATCAAATTTTCTGCAATTCCTATTTTTATGTTTGAGAGTTCCATTCCGCTGATGCTAAGTACTAGTACTGTCCATCTTTGCAGTCTATCATTGCAGTTCCTTCACAGTCATTACTGTTTCTAAGTCTCCTAAAATCAAAAGGTACAATGTAATGTAGTATGATAGCATGGCTCAAACCCTCAATTGCATATATGAAAGTATGCTGAAAGTTTAAATGCTTTCTCAAAAATGTGTTCATATTTTCATGTTAAGTGATATCGATAAAGACCTAAAAAAACAAAATCCGGTGTCATAATACGATAGCCTGTTATTAATTAAAACTTAAATGAACAAACTACTGAACAAAAATTGAATGATAATCTAGTTGCTTGTACCTATTCATATATTTCCTTCCCTTCAGCATATAGATCATTGCTCCAAGGCCAAATAAACAGACTGCCAGTAAGCAAACTGAAAAACATTAGACAAATAGTTGAAATACATTGAAAAATTGTTGAACTATCATTGTTATGAAACATTGACATCTGTACAAATCCCAGTGTTTTTAAAAAAATATGCAAAATAGAAATATATTTAAAAATAATGGATTAATCATTATACATTAAAAGTATGTGATTATTAGTCTAATATCTACTAGCAAACTTTTACATTTCAAAATAACAACTGAATACTTGCATATTTATATTGATGCAAATTATTATATATTGGATGTAAACAAACTAAATAAATCACCTAATGTTACCAACACAACAGGAGCAACCGAGATCTTTGTTGATCCTTCTGATGTTGATGCTGTATCCATACCACTGCCCAGAACAGTACTTGAAAATGTACCCATAGTGTGCTGTTGATACGACACTGTTTGGGTCTTAATCAGTCCTATACTTGGGCTTCTTGTAGTCTCTTGCAATAGTTTATTCTTAATGTCTGGTTGGCCATGTTTTGAGGCTAGCTGGTGGTTTAAATCTGCGTCTGGTTTCTGGGTACTACTGATCGAAGGTTTTCTAGGAGGCGAAATACAGTGAAACATTATCTTTTCGTATATCTGTCCACTTCCTGGTGAAGAGATTATGTTACAAGAGGACATCCCCTTACAATAATTCTTCAGCCTAAATAGTCTGACATGTTCATTCACAGAATAGTGTATCTTGTCTGGATCTTTACGGGTCCTATCATTGAATGAAAAGGTTGCTATAATTTCTACTTCATTACCCTGTTTGCAGCTTAAAGACATTGCATCCTGTTTGTCCCCTTTGACATACCGTTCACATGAGTAGCATATTTTCATTCTCTTCTCATTTTGAGCACATGATGAGTAATCAAACACTGGCCTAAGCTTATAAACACAAGACGATTGTCCAAAACATTTTAACAGATCAGGGTCCCATTCAGATCTTGGTATGGAACGGTTGACAAATATTTTGCATCCAGCTTGTATCGCATCAATTACATTTAGGGCTGCATGTAGTTTATCTCGGCAGTTCATTCTTATATTTTGGTTAGCGTTTCCCTCAATGCACCGTACAGCATCTGCAATCAAACAAAACTGGGGATTAAAGGAGGCAAAGTCAGACAAATTCATGATCTCCAATATGTTAAAGATTTAATCTATTTACCCATCATGATAACCTATATCTTATATGATTGGTTGTGCACTACACCATGATATTATTTGAGTATTTTTGAGATCTTTCATCTCAGCTTATCTTTTTTTGCAGATGATATTGCATTTCCCTGTATTTATACATAGATGCAATGCTATTGTCTGTTGTAGTTGTGTCATTTGTTCTTATTGTCATTGTTGACAATATAAAAACTGATATCCATGACATTTAGTGCAATACATTATAGTCAAAACAGAAATGTTTGGGAGTACTTTGAATTTAAAAAACAAGCAATCAAATGACCATATTGAAACAGTTTATGTAAAAATAGAAACATTTATATTTATCCTAACTTTTGTATATTTTAGTTTGTTTTGTAATTTAGCTATCATATTTGTGTCCTCTTATATTTTGATACTTCTCTGCCATGTTATTTTCGGAAAAATTAACATGGCTGAAACTCCCTAAATTACAAAAGGCCACAGCTTTGCTGCACATTATACATTACTATCTGAAATATACAAAAGTTAGGATAAATATAAATGTTTCTATTTTTACATAAACTGTTTCAATATGGTCATTTGATTTCTTATTTTTTAAATTCAAAGTACTCCCAAACATTTCTGTTTTGACTATAGGTCTCAAAATGTTCATAGACTCCTTTGTGGTGAAAAATTGCATCATCTCTTCTGGAATATTAGATTAGATTAGTCACATCATGCCATGTTTTTAATGTGTGATATTCCGCAAACATCATATTTTCTATCTTAGTTATAATTTTTCAATTAATACATTATTTAAAACATTATTTCAGGTTTACTTTACTAAATGTGTCTATTTAATTATGAGTTCAAAATGAAATAAATGAAAAAGTAAATGAAAATATGATGAAATAATGAGGCGGGGAGCCTTGGCATGATGACTATGCAAAATGTTAAAACTGCATTATCAGCAATTAAACAGCCGATGTCTTTTGATTTCCTTTTTTATTACCTTAGATTTAGATTCAGATTATTGATCATAAATCTAATCTTAACTGTAAATGTACATCTGCCATTTAATTGACATCAACTCAAAACATGTACATACATGACATGCCGGTTGCAAAGTTCATGTTATTCATGTATTTGATAAAATGTACTTATGAAGACGTGAAGACGTTAACCATTTTAATGATTTAATAAAGCATTAGTACTTACCTCCAGAAACTAAAGTTGCTAGATAAGCAACCATGATTATTATGATCGTGTTTTTCTTCATATGTCTTATTATAAAGTATTCTACGACGTTCTCCATTGTGATTTTTCTCTTATGATGAAATACCTAGGCCTTATCTACCATATATACATAGTTTAGTCTAGTTATATCCAGTTCACTTTTTGGGAAGTCCCAGATTACTGAACGTACTCTTAAATTACTTTATGATTATAATACACTTGCTCAGGTGTAATTTTAAAATTCACATTAGTGTAGATGTACATTGAAAAATTTGATGTATACCCCAAATACCCCAAAACCTTCATTATTTGTGATGTAATAGTGTATTCTACAAAAATTCAAAGATCTGATTTTAAATGAATAACTGATACATTTTGAACTTTGGTATTTTTAGGAAAGTTTATGTCCAAGTCTGTTGATACTACAAATTGAAATTTTAAAAATGTGGGGTATTTTTAGAGACATAATTCGTTTAAATAAGAAAATATATAGGAATTCTTTGTTTTCATGAAGGATTTCCACAAACTCTTATTTTTATTTCAGGAGTGAAAACTGTGTCGTTCTCAGAATGGGAGAAAATAGACAATGCTGAGAGTAGAAATGGAGAAAAGGTCGGGAAACCACGAGAAAAGTTCACAAACATTAAATCAATGATGGATTTAGTAACATGAATAATGAATATGAATTCTTCAATATCATTTACTGTATTACCATAGACTATGAAGGATAGAAAGAATATTCATAAAAAGATGACAGTGCAATCAACCTTACCTACATGTATTTATATATTTCTCTGAGAGAAGAATAACATATCAATTACACTACTGCCATCTTTATATCATTTATACCCGTACCCATAAATACTGAATTTTTCAGTCTTGACTGTTGACATTGCATTTATACTCAAGTACAAAGATTATATAATTTTATCATTTCTGTACTTGCCATGCATCCACCAGCCCCTCCACCAAGATTTTGCTTAGGTGACAAAAGTTCTTCATCAGCAGGTGGAAAGTATGTTATTTACAGGGTAAATATACCATACACTGAATTGGTGTATTTATCAAAAACAGCAAGTAGAATTTGAATCTGTGAATTGTTAAGTTTATATAATTTTAGACAAGAGGAATATTGTTACACCTCAACAACTGGTAGCTTAGACACCTAAGGATAATTTATCATGAAGATAGATAGAAAAAGATGACGTAAATGTCAAATTGCCAAAATGACCTATTTAACGATTAGTACATGGACCAATTTCCACAATTGTCATGCAAGAGTATCATCTGATCTTACTTTTTGGATTAGACTATATCATAAGTTGGTTTGCTAGGAATTTTAAATTATGATGGTACCAATTCTGAAATTCTGGTTCAGTAGATTTTGATGAAAATCAAATCAGTGGTTAAATAAACTTTTGTAAAACACAATTACATCAATCATGAAACGTACCCTTTATTGAGCTATTGTTTGTAACAGTCACAGCAACAACATAAAAATGAATATTTTTATTCTTAACTATATTTAACTTTCACATTTTTAAAATTACATGTACAATGTTATACAAGGTGAACCATATTAATCAAAAACCTGTTTAAATGAATGCTTATCCTTAATATTTTCCTAAACTGATACAAAAAAATAGTAAGGAATAGCATTCCTTTAAAAGGTATAAATGGTAAGTGAATTGTACTTTAATTGAATTGAACTGAAAAATTTGAATGCTCTTAAAACTTGTTGAACAGTGATTCAAGGAAATAGTACTGTATAAGTCTTGTATACAACCCTAGAAAGTACTCAGATTTATAAAGCAGTTCAGTGACAAGCTAGAAACATACTAATTGACTTTCCAGCTTTTAAGCAAGATTTGTACATTCATATTGTAACTTGTACATTTATAATATGATGGTGCCAATATTCACACTAGGGTGAAGTAACAGATTAGATTGGTCATTATTTCATGATTTTGGAGAACATGTTATGGAAAATAAACGAGCTTGACTAACAAAGGCCCCAGAACTTACATGCTCCCTTTTCAAAAAGATGTACAATGTACACTAACCGTCATAAAGACTTGAACTCAACCACAATGTAATTTTTTGTAAAGTTTTGGGCACTTATTAAAATTGATCTCCTGTCTTATGTGCTATTTATATTTCTGTATTGTAATGTCAGAATGTTGTTAATACATAATATTGTGAGAATGGAATCAGCAAAAGAGACCTAAACTATCTAAATGGCAAGAGCTCTGCATTTCAACATGTTCAAATTGCTACAGAAATGTTGGAAGTTCAATCACATTTTCATTTTTGAAAAGCTGAAATATTAAAGATACATTCAGGCCCCTAGCCAGGATTTGCCAAGGGGGTTGCACTTTTTGAAAAATTCCAGTGGCTTTCAACTATCTTATTGAAAGCCCATACTCGAACCTCCCTGGCTACGGGCCTGAGATTGTACTGTGGCCAATGGGAAATTGTTTTGTCTTTCCTTACAATATGCATTAATCAAAAATTAATTTTCTATTTCCCAAATATGATTCATCATGCACCATCACATTTATAACGCACAGCTTAGATGCAATCTGATTGGTCGAGAGCTTGTCATGTTTGAATGACATTAAAATCATGGATTTCATTTGATAGTCTCTTGTGTGAGGTATTGATACATTTTGATTTGTTGATTATTTGTGATTGTTATTTTAATAACATGTAACATCTTTATCTTAAAAACACATCAACACACTGGTTGTGTTGTGTTACCTTGTACATGTATAAGTACAGGGTGGGCAAAAATTCTCAGTCAGAAGTGTAATATTTGTAATTTAATTTTATCCCACTCTGTATACTGTATATGTGTAATTAAGATAGAGACAGATACAGGTCATTCATTCAAGTGAAAATTAAATAAATAATTATTTTTTATATATACATGTATATATGTGTCATCCTGAGGTAAAAATCAATCACTGTATATGTGTGACAACTATAAAATGGTACACTATTTACAGGACAGCCTGTATCCAAGGTCCATAAAGTCCAAATCTTTGCACTTTCTTAGTACCTTCCACTCTCTCTCTCATTTACAGTAAAGTGGGCCTTTTGAGAAAAAGGGACCGAACTTGGTTAACGACACTCTCATTATATGTGCCTTACCTAAATATATAAGGATAACTCATCTCTTGTAAATGAAGACTTGCATGAAGTCTCTAGACTCGACTCATCAAGAGTACAGTGGGAGTTACAATGGCTAGAAAAAGACTACATCTCATTTTATAAACCTTGGATGTCAGACTGATTTTCAAAATAACTAGTAATAATCAATGTTACATGGAATAACCTTGACTCGTGTCTTAGAAATGCCTTATGAAAATAGTACATGTACATGTTTTTTAGTTTAGCAGAACCACCATTGTCAAATACTTTGGGAGTAAAAGGTTCCACACTTTGTGTGCCTTTAATATTGAATTCCAGTCGACATACAGCAGAAATATGTTTTCCAATATATTATTTATCAATAGATGTCACATGTGCATAACTTCACATCTTAGTTGATGTGTCATGCTTTGAACATATGTGTTCTGAACTTATTGAATTGACATGTTATTTTATGTGACATTTGCAAAGTGGGCATGGCTACATATGTCATTCTATCGACAATATGTGATGCGTTTGACCAAATGGGCCATTGTCCCAGTGTCTAAACAACCCCATCTTGGTCCATGTCTATGTTAGGACATGCGTCTTCATGGTTAAGGTAGTGTCCCCTTTCTGACATTCCCATCACCGTGATGTCCATATTGTGAAATGTTTGTTGTGATATGTCCTGAAAGGGCACTTATATGTCCATTTTCGCCATTGTCCTTGGGCATATCATCATATACAGAGCTTCAAACATCATCTTAAGGCTACCATCTTAAGCATGTCATATCACCTTATTGGTACCTAGGCATGTACTGAGGCCACCATGTAGTGAAACATTTCATCTTTGTAATATATGTTTTATTTAAAACATATGCAGTGTCACTATTCCAAGTGTCATGTCTCTTCTGATTGAAACGTCAAGCACCCCAACAGCATTAATTAAAGGCATGACATCTATCTCAAGAGTTAACAGGTTGTTCCTATTTTTCCCAGATGTATCTAGACAGATGTCTCCTAGCGACACGCACATGAATTCACAGACATATTTGGGTAGTTCTTCAATATTACATTCCTGTCTTCATCAACATATAGCAAAGTGATTGAGGACATGGATTCAGGAACACAGCAGGGGGGTGGCACGTGAGAATTGATCCCAATGGCATGAACCAAACTCTGAATTGTGGCGTGGTTAGAAGGTTTCATACCCTGCAACATAGAGAAAATACATTTAACAATTGATATGTTTTACCCACATGGGCAATGATAGCAATAATTGGCATGTTTCCACCCAAATGGGCAATGACAGAAACAGTTGACATGTTTTCACTCAAGTGGGCAATGACAGAAATAATTGGCATGTTTTCACCTAAATGGACAGAAATAATTGACACGATTTCACTCAAGTGGACCGTGACAGAAATGATTGGCATGTTTTCATCCAAATGGGCAATGACAGAAATAATTGACACGGTTTCACCCAAGTGGACAATTACAGAAACAATTGACCTATTTTCACCCAAATGATCAAAGACAGAATGTTTTCACTATGACAGAAATGATTGGCATGTTTTCACCAAAATTGGCCATGATAGAAATAATTTATACTTTTTCACCTAAGTGGACAATGCCTGAAATAATTGAAATATTTTCACCCAAATGGACAATGACTGAAATAATTGACATATTTTCACCCAAATGATCAAAGACAGAAATAACTGACATGTTTTCACCCAAATGGACAATGACAGTAATACTTGACATATTTTCAACCAAATGGGCAATGGCAGAAACAATTGACATCTTTTTACCCAAGTGGAAAATTACAGAAATAATTGACATGTTTTCACCCAAATGGGCAATGACAGAAACAATTGGCATATTTACACCCAAGTGAACAATTACAAAAATAATTGACATGTTTTCACCAAAATGGGCAATGACAGAAATAATTTAAACGTTTTCACCCAAATGAACAATGACTGAAATAATTGGCATGTTTTCACCCAAATGGGCAATGACAGAAACAATTGACATATTTACACCCAGGTGGACAATAACAAAAATAATTGACATGTTTTTACCAAAATGGGCAATGAGAGAAATAATTGACATATTTCCACCAAAATGGACAAAGGCAGAAATAACTGACATTTTTTCACCCAAATGGGCAATGACTGAAACATTTTACATATTTTCACCCAAATGGACAATGCCAGAAGACAATGACACGCATTGTTGTTAAACTGCAATGAGAGCCGGAGTAGCATACTGATGTACATCCCCATATCAGGTTTATTCTATCCAGCAACCAAAAACAAATACAATGCATTTATTTTCTTGTTAGTTTATACGCAAAGAGGTTCAGTAAGGGAAACGTAGGAAGGGAGAGTTCTTTCAGGAGGACAGCAAAGTTTGTCTCCGTTTACACTCAGCTTCGAAATTGTCTTCTTTCTATGTGATCCTTACTGGTAATACACTGAGTTGTTCTGCATGATTTTGAAAGAATTCCTGGCTCTGGATTTATTTATAGCGCAACATGTACGCACCAGTTCACCAAGAGTGTTAAAGTTGATGGTGGCGGGCAGTCATCAACTAGCGACATCTTTTATGAAACAAGTTTATAATACTACATAATGCATGCAGTTGTCATAATATTTGTTAAGATTCTGACAAGGTCTGGTTAGTGTATCACTAACCAGAACATATATTTTATTTCAAAATCTCTTTATGTGAAACCACAAGTGGGAACAAACTACCATTAATCCGCAGAATATGAAAAAATAAAGTCGGTTCAGATTGACAATGAAATATATCAACATTAAAACACTTGTGAAACGATTAAAAATTGTTTTTAAATCGGTTATAAGGAGTTATGGTTTTGCTTGATATGTCATCAAGCGTCATCTGTATCCTATCAGACATAGTAACTCAGTTTGAATTTATTTAGTGGACGCCAGAACGCTGTGTGGCCTTTTAGTTACAAACTATACGTCATTTAAGTGTATTTTTCTCCATGGTCAGCCCCTTCCTAATGGGAACCCTCAGCTGTTTGTTTTGAACGCAAGATGATCGTAATACCAAACAAACTGATTTTTAGCCAACGTGTTTTGGGCTGATGTACACATTAGTGAAAGTCGATCTTGTTTAGATACTCGGAAATTACGCAAATCAAATAATTTGGGATAATCCGATTTTATCAAAAAGGACATTTTGATTAGATATGCGAAAGATTTCGGTAGAGGTTACACCTCGCTGTACTATTTGGAAGTGAACCTGATTTTGTTTGTTTCTTGATACGTCTTATTGCTATATATAGGCCCTACTTGTTTTAAAATTATTGATTCTTCCGAATCTATCAAACTCAGTGGTACGGAAAACATTCTGACCATCTGAACCATTATACCACTGCCCTATAACCGAGGGTAAAGAAAGACACTTCGTCAGTTTATTAGTCTCGATTTATTCGGTCATCAATTTACAAAACATATTGGATTCATCTGGTTAAAGTAAGTTGTCAGAAATCTCTCAAGAAAGGAACAAAACCCTGTGTGGTCCGTCAAATAGATAACAGCTAATAAAATAAATGTTTTCCTATTAAAAACGCTCATATATCGTTTAAAACTAACATTTTGGAGTGCTGAAAAATAAAACATTCCATGGATGAATAGAAATACAACTTGACAGTATTTTTGAGTTCAAGTTTCTTAGCACGGTTCTTACCCCTCATAGACTCGATATTGCAAGATTATAGCAACTGGGATTATGGTCGCTTTTCGTTAGAGCTCTGGTTGAGTATAAGGAAATATTTGTCATCCTTCGAACGCAGGGTTCCAGTCGTCATCCACTAAGTTCCTTCCTTCTTGAAGGAAGGATGTACGCGTTCTGGAGGCCTGTGTTTTGAGGATGATATTTGTAATTACATCACTTTAGGCAAACGGGGCATTAAAAAGGAACAAATATCCCTTTTTCATCTTTGTAAGATGGATGTAAGTCCCCTTGGCATTTAGGCTCTGCCTTCGTTTTAAGACGTTTGAAAGTTGATATAAATAACAACCACAATGTCGGACATATCTACCTGAGGACAACTAAAATACTGACATTCAATTTACACGATGTGGTTTACTCTTTTGATCGATTTGTGATTTGATTCAATTAGTGTATATGCCTAAATTGCCATTTTGATCAAGTGTACGTGAAAGACAGTAGATAGTTCTTATCTAGACGAAGTACTCTTAGATTGGCATGTTTTTAAACAACCTGGCGTGCACTGAGGGGTGTGGTTGATATTTCATGCCTATTATTGGCCGTTTCTTTGGGAGGTCTCCTGACACCCTGTCTAGGTATATCGTGCGATACCCAGATTCGCAAGTGTCAGGTTTAACCATTGTTCAACTGCAGAAATTGATAATCTGGGGTTATAGTATACATATTCCCTTATGAATTCATCGTGATGCATTATAATCCCGAACATCGTAATATTTGCATGACACGTGCCTGGAAGCTTGATTGCCTTTTCTGGCTTGCTGATTTTAAGTGGCATTGGAGTCAAACACTCACTTGACTCGGTGGCAATGCGACGGGGGCCCTTCTCGAAAACAGTCGGGGGCCAATCGATCTGAGTCGAAGTTATGTTAGGGGCCAATCATTCTTGGTAGGTAGAGCAATCAATAGTAAACACAGTCATGATCGATCAGTTGGTGGCCAAAAAAGCAATCTCAAATACCTGTGTTGTTTTGAATCGAACGTCTCAATTATCTGCAGCTTTAATTATACACGTTAAAACTTGGTTAATCATTTTAAAGTCCATTTATGCAGTTTTAATGTTAATTTTTAGCAGGCCTATGTCAATAAAGGTTTGTGCAAAAGATTTGAAAAAATCACGATGCCGTTTGACTACGCTTCTTGAGAGAAGGGAACTTCGTTGTCCGCGCGCATGGTATATTGCTATATGTTATAGGATCGATTCCCTTTCTGATTTTTTATAATTAATTTATCATAGATTGAGTTTTATTGACAAGATATCATCATGATAAACCATGACATCTCATTTCTTCTCAGGTGAAACAGAAAATGCTATGAGTATCAAAATGACAAGATATAGTCAGGATGAAAATAGCATCGTTAGAGACAGCGTCCTAACAGTTACTTTCTAGAAAATGTTTGTGGTATCAGAATGGAAAATAATGATCATGATCAATCTCAATATATTGTTTGAACTTCCAAGATTGATGCATTGAATTGTAATTTCAGTCCAAACCCCAGTCCCAAGAAATGCTTTAATCCTCTATTATGTTACTTAGTAAATGTTGTGTTTTCTGGAAGCGTTGAACAAGACTGATCATGGAAATATCACTACAGGGAAAACAGATCAGATAGCCGAACCTGAGATCGTAATTAATGAACGAATGATTGAATGGGTGATACAACACCGTTATCCCATGTCATCTCATTTCTTGTCAGTTTTGACAACCATGATCTTTATGTTAGGTGCACCCATCTTGAATAATTCACAAGGTTTTAGTTGTCCCATGTATTACCTTATTTACGGGCAAGTATAGAATACAAGAAACGTAAAGTTCATTCAAGAGAATTGATCATCATTGAATATAATGATGATACGAGGGGTGCTATAATCTAAACAGGACCTTCTTCATTTATCCATCTGGTATCCTGTTGGTTTTATAATTTATAAGAACATGCCATCATTGTAGACAGTGTTGTTCATTTTCACATCAAACTTCAGAACTTAATGAAGCAAAAGATTTCAAAGAGGCTAACAACAAGTTAACGGGACGGGGTGCAAGCCATTGTGCCACTAACATTGCTCATTTCAACATGTTCAATGAGATTCAGAATTAAAAACTCTTCAATATTTGATACACTCTTGACATTCACGAGGCTTATTTTGGTTTCTTAAGAGTTTACAGCATCTGGACATAAATGCAAAAAAACAAATAGTTCTTTAAATTTCAATAGAGAATGAATGGGACATTAATGTCATGACCAACACGGTGGTTTATGTAGGGGCCTCTTTCTATATTCGTGTTCCGCGTGAAGACGCCTCAATGCGCCATAACGGGACCCACGACCAATAGCCCTAGGTTAATAAACTAAACTGATAAAGGCTTTTGATAAACTGTTCTATAATGAACTGCCAACACTCTTCCACGTTCACAGGTCAACGAAAAACAGAGCACCTCAATTTTCAGGACGAATCCGTATTTTTATCAACGGACTGTAAATCTCTGTAAATTTTTAGCTAATTCCAATTCGTTATACCGTATTCGCCGTAATAAGCATTATGGTTTATACAAGGATTTGTCTTACACGATATAAGTAACATATTGCAAAGAAGGGTCATCCACAGGTTTAACTTTCTTCATTTAGATATTTCGTAAGTTATGTTGAGGTACGTTCAAAAAGTTTTTGGAACGCACGTAGACTATAATGGTTATAATGTCGGATATTTTGCATACATGACATAGTAGCTATATGCGTTCGTTGCATTCATTTTTGCTCAATATAACAGCTCTACAATATTTGCATTTTCATTGCGTCGATTTTGATTAATAAATTATTTTAGAATGATTTTATTATGCCATATATGGATATATTTAAAATTTCTAAGATTTAGATGGAGTATTTTACTTACCCTAGAAAGAGGAAAGGAGCACTGACCCGCGCAGTAATGAACGTCGAATGATTTGGGTGCTATCACCCACTTGCTCCACCCAATATCTGCAAGATCTACGACCAACCTTCTCCTGCCACAGAGTAAAGTTCTGTCTATAGGAATTTGGTTATTTTCTTGTTGCCACGGCTGCACATTTCTAGGTATAGGTAGCAATGGCTGACGTTTCGAACCTTTATTCTTCCGCCGCTTTTTATTTTTGTTTCTGTTGCGTTCTCTTGAGCGTCTGCTCTTGTTGAATTTGGGCGGATATGGAATTAGTTTTTTGGGAGGTTTACGTGGTTTAATTTGCTGTCTTTCCTGTAAAATACCAGGATGTGTAACCGGGACGTTGTACATCGAGGTGGATCGAGGTGGCTCGATTGGATCCTCTGGTATCTCGTTGTCATATATTGAACGCCTCTCGCGATTTTGTTTTCTTGTTTCAACTGAATTTCGCATGCTCTGTTTTTCGTGAGAGTCTTTGCGTTTTCTGTTCTTTCTCTGATTATGTTTATTTACAGGTCTTAACGCCTTCATGATCTCATTCTCATTTTTATTGAACTCTAACAAATCTTCAGTTTTGAAATGAGGATCCACGTGATCAACAGTAATGTTCTGATCAATGGCCTTTGAAAATATTATAATAAAGGGCTTTTCCATATGTCTCATGAATCGTTTTAATACAATATTGTTGGCGCTGTCACGGTTTTCTTTCACCGTTTCAAAATTGATAGACAGCGAGTGGGTGCGTGTACGTTGAGTTGAGGAACAGCTTTTGATTGAGTCTGTGATGTCAAACCATTGCCATCCGTAACTAAACGGACTTAAAGTCCGTGTGCCTATTTGGCTCATGTACACTGGCGCCACCTCGTGAAGCATAATTTTGATTTCCTTTGATGTTGGCCGAGTCTTCATTTTCTTCTTGTAAAGGTGCATTTCGGCTGACATAATTTTCTCCGTTGATGGTATAGAGCTCAGATTAAAATAGAACATCACTTGGCCATTCACTTTGACTGAAAATATACAAAGTAATATGTAAGCAGTTGAACTTTTTGAACGTGCCTCGTGTCCGTATCTTGACTATGTGTTAACACGTATCCATAATATTCTCAAATACTGTTATTGATCATAAGGTTAAACAATAAAAATGGTTACACAATAAAATTGATCATATGTCAAGTTTAAGAAAAACGTTTTTGTCTTGAAATATGATCAATTTTTATACAACTATATCCTTATTTGACTGGAGATATACATGGCTAGAACAGTATGTTTCACAATTGATCCTTTGTCTCATGATTGATTTTATTGTTTAATTCAGTTGTCCTTTTTGGTTTTGCAGACTTTACCATGTAAGGGGATAATAATGAACAGAAGAACATGCACTACACGGGCCCGTAGCCAGGGGGGTTCGATGGGCTCGAGCGACCCCCCCCCCCCCCTGGCCAAAAAAAACTTTCAAAATCATGCAGTTTTTCACGATTCTGAGCACTTTTTAAGTGATTTTGGCCATTTCTGGACAAAAATTGTCACAAGTGAATCACCCCTGGAATTTTTCAAAAAGTGAACCCCCCTCGGCAAATCCTGGCTACGGGCCTGCTACATAATATGAAAATCAACTACGTTTATTACGATTACAGAGTTTGTATTTCACATTGGTGACATGCATACAATTTAACTCTTTAGGTAATCAGTGTTGGTCTGAAAACTGACATTTCAATAAGAAATAAGAAAATACAAGCTTTTGTCGTGCTAAATTCATTTATAATGAACCCAGAAAGCTAGATCTGACACGAGATGACAAAACTGGGGCCAAAATACTCCAAAATACTGTTAACTGGGGGATGGCTATCGCGTGAAAGCGTTTGGCAGAAAGTGACATATCGTTAAAAAGGTTAGAAAGCAGGCTATGTACCCAGCAATTATATGTTTACATTTCAAAATCATTTAAAACGCAAAAGATTTTTTACAGCTATACAAAGTATAATGAGGTTTAAGTCTTTACACCCTTTATCAAACGATTTTTCGTTTCAGTCGTTAATTTTTGTATATGTACAGCATGTAAAACGCTGCTGACTACTGATAACCTGTGGGTGCCATTAATTTTCACCTGGATCGATGTTCAATCATATAGGTTCAAAAGCGATTTACATTTTCAATTTCAATATTGTCGTCAGTCTATCTTAGTGTAATCTTTAAGAGCCACTTGGAATTTCGTAATACTGTTTGTTTCAGTGCCCGGAAATCCTCTAATTCTTCTGTTATCAGGGTTTACTCTTTCTCCAAGTATAACTACAGTGTCGTTTTAAGGGGGGAAAACGTGTTTTACGAGGGGCGTGTCGTCAGTTAGTTCATAGACATTTACCCAATACCAGTAAATGTACAAGTTGACCAAAAACAGACTTTATTTACGCATATTACAGATTTGAACTGGTGAAAGAATAATGAACTAAGTGACAGTTCGTACTCAGGCTATCAATAGGACGTACTTGATATATTTCTACTAACAACAACGCAAATCATCAGAAGTACTTGACGCTTTGAGATTACTGTGGCATTAACGTTTTCTTACGCAATAACGAACACCCCTCGTACACGTGTATTTTGATAATTTAGAATAGTGGTCAAAGGGTTAATCATAAATCCTTATGAATTTCACTTATAATTACCTGAGATTCAGAGCCTTGTGCATTGTATATGAAGCTCTCTTTTAAGAAGCAATCAAACTATTGCAAAGGATAGTTCAGTTAAAATCCTGCGAGCCATCGAAAAAGAAAACACATTCTAGGAAGATATCTTTGAAAATAATCCCATTCACTATGTGTAAATTGGAAACAAACTCCTAAGCATATGTTTGACTCTAATTCTATTAGTGATACGTAAATATTTGTTCATGTTTACGAGACTTTAAGTGATACTTTTAACCCTAAATTCAAACGACTTCATCAAAGAAACAAATGGCATTCTATAGACTAGGTCCTGGAGCTAAGGTAACATCACATCGCCTTCAATGTTTCTGACCCTTACGAAAATAAAGTTTAATTCCATACACAAAACCTTCAACGGAGTACAGGGAATTTGATATACACTGGAGTAAACGGTTTCTTGATGTTCAGCGCTGTTTTGTATCAGGTGTTCTGAATATGATAACTTAATTATAAATATATACTTGATTAATAATCAGCCGTATAATTAATATAATGTGCACATCTATAACTAGCAAAGGAAACAAGAGCCTAATATTCAATGATAAGTTTATAACAGGATCTTTTACATCAGTTAAGGATGCTTTAACAGTGTACCAACATGATTTCAAAATATTATCCGATAAATCGGCGACATTCCAGGGCCTGATCGCGTTTTCTTAAGTTCTGAGAGCATTTAGATTGAATTTATAGGTTATTTATTCGTATTGACCAAGAGACTAAGGGGTACAGTAAATAAATAAGACCACTTAATGTCTAGTCCTTCATGATCTCCCTTAACAGCACAACAAAGTGGGATAATACCCAAACACCCTTGACAAGCCAAGTCAACATTCATGACTTATCGCTATTGGACAGAAGAGACATATGGTAGTTGATAATTATGGGACAATCTGCTCACCAGATTTTCACTTACTCAGGAACGTTTGGAATGCCTGAAACCAACAACATTTAAAAGAGTTTCCGCTTGTTTGTCCAGAGTACCAGGGTTGTTTATCCATGCAGCTAAATCATATTGCCTGTTTTGGACAAACAAAACGTCTCTTAATTTTCACATTTTTCAATGTTCGACCAGATTTTGAGCGAGGGTGACATGCCATTTAATAACTTCCGACAGGGCGCAGCACCCGTTTGCCCCATTGCTGGGGAAATTAGGCTTTTGTTTTCGTAACTTTATGAAAATATATCATTTTGAATTCGAATTCAGTGGTGGAAAACAGCATCAAAGCTGAATCAAGCGTGTACTCTTGCATCACAATCGACTGTGCTCAAAGATCCGATGCGATCAACACCAGTGAGAGGTAGATTGTGCTTACAAGCCCCTTCTTCAAAGGACTTTATTTATGCTTAAATTCACTTGTTGAATAACTTTGCGGCAAGGATGACAAGACCTTGTTGGGAGGTGTGTGGAGGCTCACATGGGCTTGTAGCTAGAAAGGGGACAGCATCTTTTCCAATCAATCGAGGTTGGGCCATGCAGCCGAAGGTAAGCCATACAACCGAAGGTAAGCCTTACAACCGAATTTTGCCGATTCAATCTGACGGAGAATGCCGAGCCTCTATTTTTGACCAATTAGAGACGTCCTCTTCACATTCGTTGTACCCTCGGCCAACTTCGTTTGCAAAGAAAAGCTTCGGCAATCTTCGGCAATCTCCGGCTTTTCTTGAGGTATCTTCGATTGATTGCCAAAAGTCGACACCCAGCTAGAAGGAGGAGGGAAAACCCTATGATTCAATTGATGACATACGATTTCCTCCTTCGCGCACCCTCCTTTTGTCTAAAAACTTACTTCCCTCCCTCTTGGTTTTCAAAGTTTTCAAATTGACCTAGTTTTAAACCAATCAACGATCGACTCGCTAAACCAATCAGCGACGATGTCATCTCAATAAAGATTTACATTATAAGCGTATGTCATCTTTGAACCCTGGGGTTTCTCCCCCTCTTTAGCTAAAGTGCGGAGTAAATAAGGTGTTGCAACCAAAACATACTCATGAATTTCGAAACTCAAACCAACCGTTTTATTTCAGCTCGTGAAAATCCTAGAAAGCTTTTTTACATTTGAAATGTTTATTGTTTACGATATTGTTGAATAAAGATATTTGAGAAAGATGGTGACATAATTACAGTAATAAATATTTTAGTTGAAAGTAATGCGTTTGGCAAATATATATTTTTGAACAAACCACCTCTCACGGGTCGCAATAACTTATAAAAATGGAATTTGAACTATATTAAACTGTGTTATACTTTACCTTTAGTAAGTCAGTTTATACTATTGTTTTATTGCCTTTAAGTAAACATTTCGTTCTCTTTAAGTGTGCTTGAAAAACGTTTAAAAAGTAATTAAATTGCAATTTATGCGTGTGCAAAATACACATTTCGACTGGAGTCGATTGCAAATTTTTTTTGTTTCATTTGGTACATTTTTTGTATTCTCAGAATCAATGTCAATTCAATGTTCTAATTTGATGTTAGCATTTCTAATTTGACATTGGAATTTCTAATAATATGTGTTTGTTTGTTTGTCTATGTGTTTGTTTGTTTGTTTGTTTGTTTGTTTGTTTGTTTGTCTATGTGTCTGTCTGTGTACCGAAACAACCATACTCGACTTATCCCATTGAACTTGTCATATAAGGTGAAATAATTATCATGTTTTTGAGTCTATTTGGTACATTATTAATGTCAAAAACATGACTTTTTTACAAGCTTTAATATTGTATATATTGTCATATCGTTTTGATAAACAAGGATCCACATAGATTACATGTGAGTATAAATATAATACATGATAACACGACAAATATAGTATTTTGGGGAGCGATTGGGACGCTCAGCTTATGTCAGGAGTGCACCATTCTGATACTCATCGCATCTTTCTCTCTTCAACTAGAAATATTCCATCCAAAGAAAAGCAATGGGAGTGTACTGATGTGTACTGTCACTCAGACCTCGGTTCAAAAATTCAAATTAATTAGAATGAAGTTGAATGCTGGGACTTGTGAACCCTTTGGTAGTACATTAGTAAAATGAAATCCTAAGGGTATGGATTGTACAGTAAATCTCAGAGGCTAGAGGTAGGATGAAGAAGCACATTCAAAGGTGCGAAACGAAACTCTTGAAAAGGGTAGATAGACACATGACCATGACCTTCGCCAATGAACTTGACCTTGATACAAACGAACAGTTGAATATTCACAATATCAAAGATTCGCCTTCTCGTAGCTGCACTGTGTAGTATCTTTGAGTGATTTGCGATCGTGCACCAAGCATTTTACAATTTGAGCACATCATGATAAAGTTCTTTGGT